CTTCTGCTTACCATATATCCCAAGAACTTTCCTGAGGAAACCTCAAAGGCACACTTGCTGGGGTTGAGTTTCATCTTATGCCTCCTAAGTACCTCGAAGGTCTCCTGTAGGTCAGTCAAATGGTCTTCAGCTTTTAAGCTTTTCACCAACATGTCATCAACATATACCTCCATGTTTCTACCAATTTGATGCTTAAACATTGCATTCACTAGCCTTTGGTATGTTGCACCAGCGTTCTTGAGCCCAAACGGCATTACTTTGTAACAGTACAAACCTCTATCAGTGATGAAGGCCATTTTTTCTCTATCTGAAGTGTACATAGATATCTGGTTGTATCCAAAATATGCATCCATGAAACTTAATAGTTCGTGTCCAGCCGTTCCCTCAACGAGCATATCGATTCTTGGGAGAGGAAAGCTGTCATTCGGGCAAGCTTTGTTAAGGTCGGTGAAATCCACACATAGCCTCCACTTTCCATTTGCCTTCTTCACTAAGACCACATTTTCCAGCCAGTCGGGGTAGTACACCTCTTGAATAAAGTCGACTTTTAAGAGCTTTTTCACCTCTTCTGATATAGCCTGATTCCTTTCTGGAACGAAAGTCCTCCTCTTTTGTCTGACAGGTTTAAAGTCAGGATTTACATTTAAGCAGTGCTCCATGATAGTGGGGTCTATACCCGGCATGTCTTCATGGACCCATGTAAATACATCTCGATTCTTTCTGAGGAATTGAGTAAGTTTATCTTTGATACCTGGGGGGAGTAAAGACCCTATACTCACTTTTTTCTCGGGCTCACCGTCACCAAGGATGACCTCTTCTAGCTCCTCTGTAGGTTCCGCTCTATGAAAGTCTGGTCTATCTTTCCCTTCCAGCCCTTCAATCGTAAATGCCTCTTACGATTTTGTTTTTCTAAGAGAGGCGACATAACATTCGCGAGCCATTGTTTGGTCCCCTCTTAGCTCTCCCATACCATATTCAGTTGGGAAGCGTATCAGGAGATGGTAAGTGGACGTGATTGCTTTCATGGCATTCAATGTTGTCCTCCCCAGGATAATATTGTATGATAATGGGCAGTCCACCACTACAGAGTCCACCATTACAGTGACCTGCTTTGGATTGGCTCCTGCAGTAACTGGAAGGGTAACTGCCCCCAGTAGATATACTTTATCGCCTGAAAATCCCACCAGTGGTGATTTCATGGGTCGGAGCTTCTCTCGGCCAATTTTCAATTTCTCGTATGCCCAGGGGGTCATCATGGGGCTGGTGAATTCCCTTGTCATCTTCTTCAGAAAAGGTCATAACCGGCTCCTCAACTCGAGGTAATTTTGTTGGAGGACTTGTCATTCCAACTTCATTCACCTCTGAAAAACTCCGAATACTCCTAGCATGAGCCCTCCGAGCCGAACTTGTCTCACCACCACCAGCGAAGCCACCCGATATAACTTTGATCTCACCCATTGGTTGGTGTTGAGGAGGGCGATCATCTCGGCCCTCCCGGGCTGGGTTGGAGCCTCCTTTTCCATTTCCAGTTGTGAATTTGCGTAAATAACCTTTACGAACAAGGTTCTCGATCTGGTTTTTGAGGTCGAAACAATCTTCTGTGTTACGTCCATGGTCCCGGTGAAACCTACAGTATTTACCTAGAGACCTCTTTATTGGATCAGCTTTTAGCTTTGGCAGCCATTTCAATGATGCGTCATCTTGAATCTGCAGAAAGACTTGATCTACAGATGTATTTAGGGGGTATAGTTATTATACCTGCCTGGGCTCACTGGGCGGCGAGACGATCTGTCAGCCTGGTTGTTTGAGAATTTCTTGTACTTCAATTCCTTTTCCTCCCTAGTGTTAGGTGCTGGCCTCTTCTTCTCCGACCTCTTATCTTCACCATCTTTGTTTTTTCGTGCATTCATAGCATCCTCAGCGTTCATGTGCTTCCATGCTCTAACCATCAACTATGTCATGCTTGTAGGGGCTTCTTTTGATAAGGAAAATAGGAACTTAGAAGTCTGTAGTCCTCCCATAAAGGCTGTGAAGGCAACCTTGTCGTCCACCTCTTCTACCTGCAGCATATCAGTGTTAAAACGACTTATGTAACCACGGAGAGGCTTTCCCTTCTGCTGTTTCACATTCAATAAGTGTGTTGCTGTCTCCTATGCCTCTGCCCAGCGATGAAGTGTCCAATGAATTGTTTGCTCAACTCATTAAAGATTTCAATGGAGCCTGGCTTTAATTTATTGAACCAAAGACGAGCCCAACCCTTTAGTGTGGTAGGGAAAGCCCTGCACATAATCTCATCCGGTACGACTTGCAAATACATAAGAGCTTTGTAGGTCTCCAAATGATCGAGAGGGTCCCGCGTCCCATCGAAGCTCTCAAGAGTTGGCTGTAGGTCTCCAAATGATCGAGAGGGTCCCGCGTCCCATCGAAGCTCTCAAGAATTGGCATATTAAATTTGCTAGGTAGAGGACAACTCATAACATAACAGCGAGGCTAAATGCTAGGTTGGTCTTCTGTACCAGATCGTTCACTGTGGCCTGGCCCTTCCCTTTTATTGCTTGCATGACGTCTTTGACCCTAGTTCTCAGATCTTGCATCTACAGATTGAAATAAGTGACGTCTTCAGTCTTGTCACCAACACAACCAGAGGTACCTGCACGGAGCCTGGTATTATTCCGTTCAAGAGACCGATGGTGATGGCTTCTCTGTTGACCCCCTATTTGACTAAGCTCAGCGTCGTTGTCAATCCTACAGGAGTCATTCTTGGGTACTTCATTATTCTCCACCTCATTAAGGGCGGCTAAGCGTTGTAGAATCATTGAATTTTTCTGGACTAATTGGTTCATTCCCTTATTTAGGGTTTAAACCTGTTGTTCCAACGCTGTGACGCATTCCTGATCGTTTGGGACGGCGGGGGGTTGCCTCGTCGAGTCCCCTTGATCAGAAGTTTGCAACGCTTCGTATTTGCCAGCAACCAGACCAGATCGTAATCGAACCATACTTTATTTAGAAAACTAAAATCGTTCCCACAGACGGCGCCAACTGTTGATGATGGATTCTGCGCAACCTGGATCTGATCTGACTTCCTGAATATAGAGAAGAAAAAGTGATCCTACGAACACCGATGTGTTACCGGTGGAGTAGGCTCCGACGAACAAGTCAGTGTGAATGATAATCTCCCTGGAGAAATCGAGAAATTGAGTTAGGGTTTATTGCGTACCTCAAAACGTTGATTCCCCTGCCTTTTTTATAGGGCTTAGGTTAAGATGTCACGTAGAATTACCTTATTGTAATCTGTAGACTTAATCCTCATCGTAATCTTTAATCCTTATCACAATCTTTAATCCTTATCGTATTCTGTAAAGCCTATCTCAATCTGTAATCCTTATCATAATTTGCAGAGCTTATCTCAATAGTGCGTTAATTTAGTAATCTTCCTTTAATTATGGATATTTAAATTATACATCCATCAATGTCAATGCCTAATTAAGTTAAACATCATTCTCATTTCATAGTGGTATGTGTGAGGACTAAATAAAATAAGAGTTGATATTTCGTGTCTAACCTAATGCTTAATTAAGTTAAACATCATTCTCATTCCATAGTGACAAGTGTGTGAGAACTCAATAAATTGAGAGTCTGAGTCCAACAAAAATGTACTACTATAATATTTGTGACACTGTAAATGAGTCCTGAAGAAGTAGTTTATGAAATGAAACTGGCAGTGACAGGTTTCTAGAATGAGGTCCACTGCAGTTAATTCAAAAATGTGCGATAATACAGTTAATACTCAATGCCTTTGTTTTACCTTACCAGCGAAGGCAGTCTCTGTCTCTCTCTTTCATTAGGACTTCCGAGCCATCAATATATACAGAGACTACTTATTAAGAGACACCTACCCCAACTGCCAAGTAAAGTAACCCAACCACATGCCGTATTATTATTATTATTATTATTATTATTATTATTATATAATAAATGTATATTAGTAAGAATACATTACAATTGAGCTCCCTTGAGCATTTGATGAAGCATTTAAAATTTATTATTTTAACCTCACTTAAATTTTAACACATGAGCTCAACAACCCCGTTCTGTTTTCACTTAAATTTTTTAGAATGTGACCGTTAGTTGGTAGTTGATGTAATTAATCAAACTATTACAACTGTATTTTTGAATTTTTTTTTTATTAAAAAAAAAAACTAATTTCTAATTCCATCAATTTTAAATAATAAAAATTCAATTTCCAAAAATTAAATACCGTCCAACTCTCTGAGAGTAGATCAAAACCCATCGGTTAAAAATCCTTCCTTTAAAGATTGGGCGAGAAATTGTCTTTTAAGGAAATCGTGTAAACACAGGATTGATTTGCCTTCTACGAATTTTAAATACAATAAACAAAACAGCGGACGTTGAAATTTATGGGCAACAATTGTGTTTGTTTCCCATATTTTTCACCAATCATAATCATGGTCCAAAACAAAGACCAAGTATAATTGATTTTAAAAAATCTTTTATCTCAATCTTAGGACAACAAGAATATTAAAATAGTAAACAAAAACAATAGGAATATCTCTCTATCAATCATAGAAGAAGCAAAATATTTCATTAGATATTGAAACTGGAAGTGGCGGAGAGAGAGAAGAAGAAGAAGAATATGAAGGGAATAGAGAGTCATCCACTGTTGAGAGGAGGAAGGAGAGGATGCAAAAGCTACAACCATGGATTCAGTTCATCTCAGATCCAAACACTGTCTGCCATTTGTGAAGCTCTAATCCCATCCCTGCAGCCAAACAATATCATCACCAAAGAAGACCCACCTAACCCGGCCCTCCAATCATTCTACCAAACTTCTGGCTCTCAGTCTCCATTCCCTGATGAGGTTTTTTTTTTTTTTTTTTTCTTTTTAATATTTACTTACATAAATGTTTAAATTTAGTATGAGAATTTTGTGATATTATATATTTGCATTGATCAGTGTTTTTGTTTTTAATGGTGGACAGGTTGCAGAGGTGTTGGTGAGAAGAGGTCTATCGGATGCTGTGTTCTTGGTGACTTTAGTTCTAAAGTTTCTTTCAACCAGATTGGGGACATTACTGCTTTGTGGGTTTCTTTGCTTTGATTGGAAATGGCCATTTATTCACAAATTCTCTGAAATTTCCTTGGAGAAGAGGGAAAATGTTCTACAGAAATGGTCGAAGAAGAGTTTTTTCACTCTCCTAAGAGTAGTGTTTTTGGTTATCAAAATCTTCTGTTTATACACCTTTTACTCTTGGGTAATGCATCTATCCAATCATTTGTTTTCATTATTATTTATTTTATTATTATATAATATGCTTTTCTCTCCCCCCTTTGACTTTCTTATTTCTAGTGTTATGTTATATATTTGTTCTTTTTTCATGATTCTGGTTTATGGTTTGAGGATAATAAATAAATCAAAATAAAAATTCCCAGTTTGCTGAACTGGTTACTTGGATTTCTGCTAGGATCAACTGTTTGATTTACTGGAACTTAGGCCTTAGTAACAATTTGGAAGTAATTTATAGCTTTTAAAACAATACTACAATTTTTCTTTCTAATCAATAAAAACCTCAATTTTCTCAACCAACGACAACAAAGTTCATTAGGAGGATAGGAACTTACCAAATAGTTGGGTTCTTTTCTTCGGAAGCTGAAGCTATAATAACCCAATATTCTGTTCACTAAACCAGGTTTTGGCTTTGTTGATTTGTTTAATTTTAACCTTGAAGGGGTTAGCAATTTGATTGACTTGTGTCGTCATCATTATAATATATTCTTGAAAAAAGAAATTCCTCGGATAAATAAAATAGACATACAGTTCAGATTCTAGACTTTCTAGTCGCTTTCAGAATTTTAATTAAGATTTACAAATAATTTTGAGGATGGTAAAAGGGTGGTTTCTCTGTTTCTTTTCATTTGCTACAGCTTTTTGCAATTTTGAGCAAGAACGTATCCATAAATGTATCAGTATTATATTTATGTTTTTAATTTTGAATTTCTCCTGTGCATTTGTTGCAGACTGATGAGAACTCGAAAAACCCAGCATGGGAAGCAATGGGATACCAGGTAGACACTCGAGAAAAACTGGCCAAAACCCGAAAGGAGAGACCTCTGGAAAAGGGAATTATCGAAACTATGAATCAAAATGAGTCGACACTAGTACAATCTCTAATCCAGAAAGGCTTGGAAGTCACGGAAGATCCAAGTAATAACACTTACAAGATCAAATGTGATGTAGTGATTGTTGGTTCTGGTTGTGGGGGAGGCGTTGCAGCTGCAGTTCTTGCCAGCTCTGGACAGAAAGTGCTCATCCTGGAGAAAGGGAATTACTTTGTGCCTGAAGATTATTCTGGTCTGGAAGGCCCCTCATTGAATGAACTATACGAGTCGGGAGGATTTGTATCAACTGTTGATGGAAAAGTACTGATCATGGCAGGATCAACCGTTGGGGGAGGCTCTGCTGTTAATTGGTCCGCAGCCATCAGAACCCCAGATTCTCTTCTTAGGCAGTGGAGTGTGGATCAAAAGATCCCCGTCTTTGGAAGCTCTGATTATCTATCCGCCATGGATGTTGTGTGTAAAAAGATTGCTGTCATGGAAGGTTGTACGGAGGAAGGGTTTCAAAATCAAGTACTCCGGAAAGGGTGTGAGAATCTTGGTTTAAAAGTTGTGCCGGTTCCAAGGAATTCCTCGGAGAATCATTACTGTGGTTCTTGCGCTTATGGTTGTAAAACAGGAGACAAGAAAGGGACCGATTCCACTTGGCTAGTCGACGCTGTTGGCAACGGTGCAGTGATATTAACCGGATGCAAAGCAGAGAGATTCATATTGGAGAATGGCAATTATGGAACAAGAAAAAGATGCTTAGGAGTCATTGCAACTGCCTTGAACAATAATATCACAAAGAAGCTGCATATTGAAGCAAGAGTGACAGTTTCAGCATGTGGCTCGCTGTTGACACCTCCACTGATGATTTCCAGTGGCTTGGAGAATCATAATATTGGCAAAAACCTCCATCTCCACCCTGTTCTGATGGCCTGGGGGTACTTTCCGGAATCTACATCACAAATCAAAGGCAAGAGCTACGAGGGAGGAATCATTACTTCACTCCATAAGGTGGTTTCTGAGGAATCCAATGTCACCGCTATTGTAGAAGCTGCTGCACTAGGACCTGCTTCATTTGCTGCATTGTTTCCATGGGTTTCAGGGCTTGACATGAAGGAAAAGATGGCAAGGTATTCAAGAACTGCTCACCTTTTTGCGTTGGTTAGAGATCAAGGTTCGGGGGAAGTGAAGGTGGAGGGTAGGATCAAATATCGATTAGATCGTCTTGACAGAGAAAATCTTAGGACAGGGTTAAGGCAGGCTTTGAGGATTTTAATTGGGGCAGGAGCTGTTGAAGTGGGCACCCATCGGAGTGATGGACAGAGAATCAAATGCAAAGGGATGACGGATAAAGATTTGGAGTTGTTCTTGGACAAAGTTACAGCAGTTGGAGGGGCAATGTCGAAGGGTGAATACTGGACCACTTATGGCTCTGCGCATCAGATGGGTAGTTGTAGGATGGGTGCTAATGAGGAAGATGGTGCAGTTGATGAAAATGGGGAAAGTTGGGAAGCGAAAGGATTATATGTTTGTGATGCAAGTGTTCTGCCTAGCGCTGTTGGGGTCAATCCAATGATTACCATCCAATCCACTGCTTATTGCATCTCAAAGAGAATTGCAGAGTTCTTGAAGAAGAATAAGTTAGTGGCAAATGACTGATTGGCGCGATGGGATGCCCCTATTCTTTCATTTACAACCTTAATGTCAAGAGTGCAAGTCATTTCAGATGCCTAGGAAGAAAAACAAAGAAGATGACTGATTCTTCTCATTTTCTATATACCCTTTCTGTATCTTTTTTTCTACTAAAAATATGATGCTACAGAACTTTGTAATAAGAAAATCGATATGATGATGTATCAAATAATTCTTTTTATTATCAGTCCTGTTATTTGTGAGAAGCATCCAAATTCATACACCTATTCATGTGCAATCTAGAGGCAATGAACACGAGTAAATTTATACCAGTTCAACTCACTTATAACCTTTTTATTTTGGTCATGACAAAACTTTTTGTGATAGCCCAACCCAACCTGAACCATTTCACATACCCTCTAGGTGTGCACAACACTTTCCAAGGGTGAACCTATAGGTTTAGGATCAAAGGATTGCACTAGGTAATCGTAGTGGCTAAATAATTAATGTAACAGAAATGTTTGTCAACTATCGGTACATAAATGTTTGTTAATTCATCTTTGCATGTTTGTAATTTGATTGGAATATGAGCAACACATGAAGGCTGGTGCTGCGTAAGAATTCAACCGGTCAAAAAAGTAGTTGGAGATTCAGTCTGGATTTCACCATTCACTCAAACTGTTGCATTGAACTGAAAAATAAGAGCAGCCATGACGTCCCAGATCACATGCTCCCACCAATATGTTCAACTTAATATTGGTTACAGCCTATACATCTCACCTGCATTAAAAGAGTGACTTGCCATTACAAAGACTCTAATATAAGGCACTATAAATTGGAAGTATGGAGCTTACTATTTGGAAAACTTGGAAGAAAGGGTACCTGGAATAGAATTAAACCGGTGGATAGAAAGCAGCATCACTGATCCATGAAGGTTTTTTCGCATTATAGTAAAAATGTGCGATCATGTGAACCAACTCATCTGTTGTTCGCATTTCTACATGCCGAATCAATTAAATAAATAAATAAATGAAAAAAGAATAAACTTCAATATAAATAAATCGGTGCTTCAGATAAATTTAAGGAAAAATAAAATCATGAGCTTACCTTTTTCCCTATATACAATCCTGTTTCCTCGTAAAAATAAAATTTGTGGGCATTCTTTAACTTTAAGAGCGTATGCCAAATCTCTCTCAATGTTGATGTCAATCTTAACCATCTATTTTAAAGGAACAAAGTCACTCAAATTAGTGAATACACAAACTGAAACATTGGAGGAAATGTAAGGTCAATAGAGTTGGTGAATTTATGTGACAAAGCTTTAACAGATAGAGAGAGGAACAAAGAAAAAGAAAGTCAAACGACTTCAGAATGGACAAATGAAAAGTTCAGACTTTGGAGTACCCGAGGAGGCAATCGATCTTTTGCACTCAAGTACACCTTTGCTGCCTTCTCTAATTCCTTCAGTACCTTCCAGTTATAAGCTGCCCTGTTGAGATAATGGCGGATGGCAAATTCTATTAGCAGAAGAATTTATAGTTGGCGGTCCTCTCACACCACAAACATGTGACTTCCATGTAGGATAAAACAATGGGTTCAACAATGAACAAAGCTTGGAAGATAATCCTAAAGCATAAGATGCATAAGATAATCCTAAAGCATAAGAGGCATAACCAAAATCAACTTACCACCCAAATTTGATAGAGCTCAAAAAATGCAACTAGAAAGAATGTAGGTTTATGCCCAACGGTGCTACTAAAACCAAACATGAGAGATCATGAAGATTTGGAGGTACATAATCGATAAATCATAATCATATGCCTTTTATGCATAAACACGATATGTGACTATCATTATATACTTATATATACACTTTTATTAAGAATAAACACATACAAACACGTACATACATACATGCACATGTAGATGCATCATAAACAAATACAATGGCCTACTTTGACGCTAAGAATATACACATCGCGCACATACACACACTTATATGTAGATGCATGCATAAACACATATAAAGATGTCTGCTTCAAATTTCTAAGAAGCATGGAAAGCAAAAAAATATGAAAAACTACATCACATACAGCATTTTAGCTATCGGGAGTATTTAAAGCCCCAACTTCGAATGGACATGTTTATAGCACAGACCATTTATTAGAGAAATCTGAATTTCATATTATTCTATTAATGATACTCTTACACAATTCCTTAATTTCAAGGTACTGGTTCATGCCCTGCAGGTAGCCCCCGATTCCCAACATCTGTTTTCCCGCTACCCCAATGATGTTACTATCCTCTTAGACGTTCTCCAGAAAAATTACTTAATTGTGAGCCAGTACCTAGTCTTTGGTGAATAATTACCAGTAAGAGTGTTATGGACACATCAGCGACCTAATTATCCTACGTGGAAATTCTATACAATTGACTGGGACTTAAGACCTCCCTTGGATCTTTATCACAATTCACACCCCATTCTTTAGACTTGTTTGGGGACCTCGAGGAACCTCTACTCTACTGCCAAACCTCGAGGAGATTATTTTAGGAAGTGACACTTTGTTCTAGCCGCCTAGGTTGGAGGCAGAGCTTAGGGGAGTTCACAGGTACCTAATGATGTCACTTCATGGGATCCTAGGGGCAAAGTCTGGAGGCTCGAGCTCATAAATTGCTGAGGAATGCCCCTTTTGCACTATGTTCTACATATTAAATTGTCCAACTTTTCAAAAATACATTAGAATTCTAAATATTAAATACTATGGACTTGAACCAAAATAAAAATCTAAAACTTCTTGGTATCAAAACCTTTAGTGTTCCTCATGCTCAATTGACCTTGCTGCCCTTGTATAATTAATTGTTTCTAAGTTTCTCATGTTTCCGATCCAGTGTTCCGCAAATCAACTTGCCTTCTTACTGTGAAATCAGAGGAAATCGTTTCATACATGAAAGGTGCTTCATTGAAACTGAGAAACAAGCATCCTATGCATAAAAGCAGTGGAAGAAAATAATAGTCCAGCCAAAAAAAATTAATATAGATCATTACTGTTGTAAGCATGTTTCCTTAATTCAAGAACGTTGCTTTAATTGCTTAATACCAAGTCTAAAGCTGCATGGCAGAGAAGTATGTAATTTTTTTTTATATTTGTGATAAATCTGCATACTGCGTCTGACATAAACATGCAATATCATTTAATTGAAGTAACAAATAAATATTTACCCCCCTAATTTTTCCTTAAGACATATATTTGCTTTAAAAATACTTTAAGATTATATGTAATGCACCAAAGAAACAGCGAAAGATTTTTAAGAGTGGATAATAGTTCTCACTGATCAAAGTAACAACAAAACTGCTAAGAACCTGTTGTATCTTTCAAAAACAAGAACGATTAGCGGGCTTGGATGAAATGCAAAGCTCTCCCACTCCAGACAATTGATTTCCTTCACCCAGTTATCATCAATCTCCCCTTCCCAGTCAATCTCAACACCATCTTCCCCTATAACGTTCTTGATTGGATGCTCTTCAAAGTACTCTGATGCTCTAACTCCCCACCCCACATCTGCATCCAGTGGCCAATTTGGATTATCTTCCTCAACCACCATCTCCTTTTTTCTGCTGTTATCATCTTCATCGCTGTCGTCATCGCTGCCATCAGAATCGATTTCACTATCAACTCTATCCTTCATGATATTATCCTTATCTTCGAGAATTTCTGAATTCTGCTGCCTGATTGATGTAAATGTCTGTTCAAGCGAATTCCGTATATAATCTTCAACAGCAGCTGCTTCACTCTTACGACCACGCCTCGGCTTCTTGGGGATTGTTGTAGGGAAGATTCTGCCATTATTTCCATCTTCATCTTGAGGTACCTTGTTTTTCTGGTGTGCACTCCTTTTGGGTTTGAATTTTGGTTTGGGGTTAGAGTTAGGGTCAAGGTTTGAATCAGAACTCCTTGAAACAGCAAAGCAAGTCAGAGGTTTTAAACTGTAATTGTGATTCACAGGTGAGGATGAGAAGTTCGAGTGAAACTGAAAACTACGAGTAGGGTTGAGGGCTGATCTTTCCCGAGAGAATGAAGTAAAAGAGTGAAAATCAAGCCTATGATTCACTACACAAAGAGACATTTTTCCCTTAAATCCTTCGTCCACCTTAAAGTGACGTTTATAATTCAAATGTAAGGGAGAGCCTAAAAGCCAAGAACGCAGAAGAACTTGCTGGAGCACGCGAAGCAGTTTCACCCCTGATATGAATTAATAAATTTACATTACCAAAAGGATTACTTAATATTAAAATTATTAAAGACACACAAGTGAGACTCATTGAATCAGAATGCTAAAAGTTATGGCATTAGTAGTTTAAAATTTTAAATTTAATTTGCATAGAGAATAAAGTTTAGATCCTGCAGAAACAAGAAGATGCAAAACAAAGATTTCTCACTCCTGATGACACTACAAAAGTTTTAAGTTAATCATCCGAGGTTTATTGTGAACCATCAGACCATTTGGCATCTCACAGGGCCTAAGATTTATAAGAAAGGCTTTGGCATTTTCCCAATCGGAACCTGATGGCCACTCTTCACACCTCACAGCAGCAGCATGTTAACAAACACCCACATCATTTACAAAAGTACTATTTCGACTATCCAGTATCCACTATAAACACGCCTAAAACATTACCGCACAGAATTATATTGGATAAAATTTGCTGGCCATGTATTGAAGTCATAATATCTAATAGTAATTTCAAAACTATCATATTTAACCAAAAGCCTGTTCTATTTACAAATCATGTACTTTCTCACACTACAAGGGATTTAAATCCAATTACTACTCATATGCTATATCAATCACTCTTATACCCATATAATAAAAAATGGAAATTTGTGAACCTACATTATAAACAAAACGTAGACATACAATAGGTCTGGTTCCAAGAGCATGTATATGGTGGAAAGCAGAAAGTCCTGCACGCACAGAGATATGGTCAAACTATACCAGTTTCTATTTCTTTCTTGATAATCATAGATTTGATCATGTAAACGCAAGGTTTACAACTCTGCACTCAGTAGATTTGATGAAAAAGAATCAACAGGTGGAGTGAGTAAAACCCACAGCGTTATTTCAACCAAATGCAATTTTTATCACTGTATAGTAACAAGAGCTTAAAGAATTAAAATTAAACCATAGAACATGTGAACTTATCCGGCAAGACCGCATGCATCTTCTTGGCAAACAGTCGAACATATAGTGTGCATTCAAAATTTTTTGGCTTAAGTCAGGAAATAAATCATAAATCCTATGGACGCAATTAATAATGAAATTATGCAAAATCATGATTCAAGCCTAGAGAGAGAGGAGGCGAACCTAGTGAATTGTTCAGGTTGGCTGTTTGGCTTGCTGACTGTGAAGAGAATGGAAGCTCTCCTCGCGCTTTTGGTACTGTCAATTGTAACTGGACATCATATTTCGAAAAAAATTTGTACTGGACATGATAAAGCAAATGGAGAAGCTTAAAATATCTAATCACAAAAAAGTGGGACCCTAAATCCGGTGACATGTCATATACGTGGCAATATCGTGGGGGTGGTACTCCTGCTCTGTAATGCCACAGAGGCTCATGACTCGGATAAGATGAAGTTGTTGACAATTCAATCCAATACTTAATTCGGAAAATCTAGCTTTTTATTTTTTAAAATATTACATATTTAAAAATAGTCACTTGCAAATGATTACTTAATTAAGTGAGTTTAATAATACAATTTAAATATTAATTAGTAATGTGTGATTTAACTCATGACAATGCTTGAATATTCAAAAAAAAAAAAAATGTCTTAAATTTATTTTAAATATCATTATCATTTAAAAATTTAGCACTTAAAATGTAAATTTTAAAATTTTTAATGTTTAATTTTCAGTCTTAATTATTTCAATTTTCTCTCTCTATTTATTATTTTTTTTAACTATTTCTCATCCTTTCATTTTGTTCTTACTATTTATTATTTTTTCTTTGACTATCGTCATATGCCCATGCTTTTTAGTTTATCAAAAAATTTATATATATATATAATTTTCGGGTCATCAAATTGGATATTCAATATATAAGAAATGACAATTGAATTCAAACAATACGCGTTGTGGTGCATGCATACGGTTATTATTAACATTTTCATTTATCAAAAAATATTATTATTAGAAAAAAAAATTATTTTATTTTTTGGTGAGTGGAAAATAATTTTGTATCAATAAGAAGGAAGGAACATATTTATTGACTTTAAAGCACCTTTTTTTAACTAAAATCATCAAGAAAGTTAGTAAAAAAAAACTTATAAGAAAATAGAAAATATTTTAATTAGAGTTGAGTTAAACATAAACCTACTATATAAGTCAACATAGGCTCAACCGGAGCCCAAAATAAGTCCTTTGAGTCAGGCCCGGCCCGGACCGACTCATTCATCGCCTTAGTTTGGCATATTTCGCTAGCTGCATGGTAAACGTACAAAACAGACGGAGAGGGAGAGAATGAGAACAAACCAATTTAAAAAAAGAGAAAAATATTAGTAGTACTAACGACAAAGCTTATACTGCAGTTACGAAGAAACCGAAGCAAAAGATAGATCGCCGAGAGATTCAGAATAATGGAGGATAAAGACGACGGGACTGTCCAAACCCTAAGAAGGCGTAATCTTGATTCTTTAAATTCGATTCATCTCCAAACGCTTCGACTTTGGGACATCATATTTCCATGGCTGATAATCCTTCTTCAACGTCCAGATTTCGATTTCGTGATCACCAAGAATCCGACTCCTCGGAAGGTCACACCAGTTCCAATTCTTCGTCTCTGTCCAGCGACGCCGACGATGACATCGAACTTGAGTCCATGACCGGAAAGGTAAAGTTCTTCTTCAATCTTTACACGCTAATAAATTATTGTAAATTAATTTGCAAGTAGTCATACTTCGTTACCAAATTAAAAAGAAAAATGCATATATATATATATATATATATATATATTTTTTCTTGACAGAAATGTTTAGGGAATTTCTGTCCAGTTAATTAAAATAAAGATTAACGTCTATTTGTAAGTTCTAATATCTGAATGACAATGGCATTGCTATTTGCTACTAGCCTACTGCCTTTTTTCTTCTTCTTCTTCAATCTTTACACGCTAATAAATTATTTCTAATTAACTTCCCAGTAGTAATACTTTGTCAACAAATTCAAAATAGAAAAGCTATATATATTTTCTTGTAAGAAATATTTCAAGGATGATAACTTATTTGGCAGTGAACATTAGGAAATTTCTATCCAGTTGATTAAGACAAAAACAACGGTATTGCTATTTGCCACTGCCTCTTTGTTAATTTCTGTTTTTGTGTGTGTGCAGGCGTGTGTTTGAACTTTGAAGAACTCATGATTCATTTTTTAAATCAAATTGCTCTCTGTTTTGCAAAGAAGATGAACTGCAGCAAAGCTAACTTTTTATTTTTTATTTTATTTTTATATAGGATTGGAAGTATAAATTTTAGTTTCTGAACTTTTGAATAAAATGGTAGAAGAAAGGGTGGTTTTATCCAAACATGTTGCATGAGTCGATCCATATAGATACAGTGATATTATTGTGTAGAGTTGGAAGAGTTTACAAATATGTGCTAAAATATTTTTTTTGATAAGTCAAAAATTTGCTATAATATTAATGTTAGAATCTCTGATATAACTTAATTCCTTGGTTATGGAAGCAATAAAATACCTATTTGTCATTTGAAAGATCCTTGATGTGCACTTGACAATGTCATTTTATGCTTCATTCAGTTCATTCATTGGTGTCCACTGACTTCACTGTTGGTTATGTTCTCCACTCTGGACCTTGGTGTACACTTGGTGGAGACAACATAATTTGGGCATGAGTATGCGGCTATGCGTATTAGACACATAAATTTAATGAGCACATACATACCCCAGACATTCACTCATTCATGAGTCCGTTTGGCATGGGTTACGAGATGCTTTGGAAGGAAAGTTAAGTTTTCCCACATGCCAGATCATTGATCTGATCCATCTGCATTCCATATTTGTCGAACTGTATCCAACTGACATGCTAATAACTCATGTTTGATGTTTAAAGCAGGATTGATCTGCTAGAAGGTCTATTCACCACCACCCCCTCCCCTCCCCTCCCCTTCCTCTATCTACAACTGCACGACTATGTTTGTCTACATTTTGAGTTTATCAATATAATCCAAAAAGTTTATCTTATGAAATTTAATTATAATGGTTTGAATTTTGTCCAATACTTGGTGGACATGCAGTATTTTCAAATAATGAATTAGTAAGTTATTTCGTTGCTTCAACTTTTTGCTTAATATTTTTCTTTTTGGCTTAAAATTTTCAGTCATATATGTCCCTGTATCATTCTTATATATGATATATTGTTTTGCTGATATAGGGTATTAAGCACCTTTGTTCAGAACTCCTCGAGCTAAAGAGTGTGTCAGATGAAGATTTTCACAAGAACATCTTTTCCAATTATTCAGCATTTGTTAGGTAAATTATTAGGTTATGTGTGATTCTTCTTCTTCTTCTTCTTCTTTTTTCTCTTTTTTTTTTTTTTTTTTTTGGGGGGGGGGGGGAGGGGGGATAAGTCAACGTGGTTATTGGAGATGGTGGATTGAGGTTGTGGTTCATTGATTGCTTATTGTTATATGTAAAAATATTTGGCTCTTGTATTTCCTGCTGAGGTGTGAGTCAGTTCATGTTTCAAATGCTTTATAAACTGGGTGGACCCAAACAATCTCCCCCTCCACTCATGAGGAAGAGAAATCACATAATACACCCGCAAAGGCCAAGCTTCTTCAAAGTCCTTGACTCCCCTTGGGTAGAATTCATGTTCTCAACGCACAGACTCCTACTTTTCAAACATATCTTATTCTTAATTGATTAAAATTCTCTAAATATCTCTCTCTCTCTCTCTCTCTATATATATATATATATATATATTTGTCTCTGAGTCAGAAAATGAAAATTCTGTTTTTGTTGAATTCAATTGCCTTTTTGATCAGATTTTAGAGAGATTTTCTTATACAATTTTAACTTGTTTTCCAAGCTACAAAAGGACTCTTTAACAGGGGCGGAGCCAGGAATAATTATTTGGGGGGCCAAATTAGTAATCTAAAATTAAATTTTAAATAAAATAATTGTAAATATTTTTTTTCTTTATGTAGTGAATTTTTAATGTATTTTGTTAAAAGTATGTTTATAAATCATACGAGGAGAAAATGGGGAGAAGAACCATTGAGTTTGTCAAGTGTCGAGCATTTTTTTTCTTCTCTCAAATTCATAACAAATAATATATGTATGTGCGTATATATATGAATAAATAGAGTATGTTGTAGTGAGGATTACAATAATAATTATAAAAATAAATTTGTACTAACTCTGAATTTTTTAAATCAACATATTCATCAAACTTTGGGGGGGGGGACCCCTCCCTCCCCCTGCTCTTTAGCATATATAAATACTCTTTTCTAACTTGCTGACTAGATGCATACATGGATATCAGCTCTTTCTATGAGATAGTATTAACTTGCCCAATTGTTTAAGCTAGGTTTTTTTATACTACCAATTGTTTCAAAAGTATAAGTTGTTAAGGAATGGGCCTACATCAATCTCTCACACCTTCCCTCTCATGAACCATAACAAGTGTGAAGTGGTAAGAATCTAGATAGAGATACTTGAATTAAAAATCCCTCAAGATCGAATTATGCCATAGCACCACTAGCCCAGAAAGGTTAAAATTTTGAGGCTACTCATGCTTTCTTGTTTTACAGAAGGAGGAAGGGGATAATGGAGGGTTTCATTGTGCATTATAGTTGTTGAGAAGACTTCGTTAATGCTTGGTGCTGTAGGCTGCCATGTCTTGATGTTTCTTACGATATCATCTATTAAACAACATTGAATTTTTCACTTATTTTTGTCATTATAATTTCTAATTGTAATCTGGATTCTGAATGAATATTTTTTCTACCTTACTTTGTCTATATGATATTATGATGGAACATAAATGAAGTTATCTATAGATTTTTACCACCTTTTTTCCCTTTGTGTGTGCTTGTGTCTAGGTGGGTTGGTTGAGTGCAAACTAAAATCCTCTCTAGCACACTGCAGCATCAGTGCACTGTGGCAGGTGTGGATCATCCCACCAGCAGGCCTCACACTGCTGATGAGACAATCCTCCTCCTTCCCAGAGCACTGGAGAGGTTAAAGGCGGTTGGGTTGTGGTGTTGGGTGGGGGCCAGGCACGAACCTGGTTAAGGACCAGTGGGGGCGGATGCCCCCACTCGATTTTTCCTATTTGCATTATTATCTATACTTTTTATTAAAATTTTGAAAATGTCCCCTCTCAATTTGTAAAAATTTTAAAAATACCCTCTCAATTTGTAAAAATACCACACTTCACATTTTTGTCCCCACTGATTTTTTGAATCCAAAAGATAATTATTTATTTTTCACTCTCTACCACCTGCCACATTCATGATTCTCTTTCACACATTTTGATATTCCCACTCAATTTTTAAAAATACCCACTATATATTCTTGCGTTTTAGATCCAAAAGAAAGTAAAGTAAATCGGCTTTCTTGTTTTTTCACATCTCACATCCATGGTAATCTGGAAACCACGAATACGGTTTAAAGATCAAAGAATCTGAGTCAAACAAGCCACAAAAAATTAAATTCTTATATTTAAAAAATTATCTTCAAACTTTCTTTATTCTTCAACAGTGCCCGCCCACAAAAATATTCCTGCGTCCGTCACTGGTGGGGCCTATTCTTCCTTTTTTAGTCAACTCGTCCAGCATACTGCCAGCTTGGCACTCTTCTTTTACTTTTTTGTCTTCTTTTGTTGATGCTTCAATAACAACTAGAGCTGATATATGTTATTTTACTTGCAGAATATTTGAAGAAGTAGAATCCATGGAAAATGAACTAATGCAATTAAAACACCATATCTCAACACAAAAAAGGCTTGTAGAAGACCTTAAATATGGCATTTATCTGAAGGTTTTACCGAAGGAGACAGTGGAATCAATTACTGAAGAACCTGGATGTGATGGACAACCATCTCTGAGCATATTAGAGGCTCATGCCAATGATGCTGCAGAAATTCTAGATGTTCTTCTGTCAGAACGAAGGTTTGATGAAGCTTTGGAAATTTTAAAAATGGAAGCTAGAACTTTTCAGAGCATGCAGTTGGAAGAAAATATTCCTTCAAATGTGTTGATGTCCTACAAATCCGCAGTATCAGAAAGGAGGGCAATGATTGCAGATCAGTTAACAGTGGTGGCTGAAAACCCCAGAGTATCTGCACCAGAATTGCAGAAAGCATTAGTTGGACTTCACAGACTTGGTGACAGTAATCTTGCAACTCAATTATTGCTTAAATATTACCATTCACGCATTGCATCTGGTATATATGATTTTCAGTACTCAAAAACAATTTTACATGGCGTTTACATTCGTGAAGTAGCAAAGTTTGTGTTTTCTATGATTTCACAAGCAGCAAGGAGTTTTACAGTCTTATATGGAGAAACTTCTCCTTATGCTTCAGAACTTATTCAGTGGGCCTGTGAAGAAACTGAAGTGTTTGCAGCCTGTTTTAGTAGATATGTTAAATCCATTTCAGAAACAAGTGGGGGATTGTTAACAGCAGTGGAAGCAGTGCAGTTTGCAACGTCATATTGCTCTTTGTTGGAATCTCAGAGAATAGTGTTGAAGCCATGCTTAGTGAAGCTTATTCGTCCTTGTATGGAAGATGTACTACAGATTCATATAGACCATTTCAAGAAAGTCATTGGCATCTTTACGTCAACTGATAATTGGGTTGTGGGCAGATATCTTGTATCGGGAACTTTAACTGATGAGTGCTCTTCCATGGTTATTGGGCAACAACCAGAATTTTGCGTTCTCACTAACAGTGGTCGGAAGTTCGTGACATTGTTGCAGGTCTGTTTGATCCCTTTTTGGACTTAATTTTAATTTTAGAAAACCTATCTTGTTTCCCATGCTGCCAAATGGGGGAACTTGATGATGTAAACAAGAGGGATCCTATTAGTTCCAGGTGTACATGACTGCATTGGTACTATGTGCATAGAGGGCTATGTTAGAGTGTGGTTGTCATATATTTATTTATAGAAAAAAGAATACAGTACAATGTATTTATTTAGTGTGGTCATTGACTAGTCAAGTGCAATTCCAAAATCCTTCGGCAGTGACCAGAGGCAATTCCTAGCTAAGCAATCTGTTGCAACGTGGGGAGAAATTAATTTAAGAGTTCGGTAAATCTAACTGCCCTGTTCGTCCTGTTTTGAAAACGTTTTGTGATCTTTGTTCGTCAGTAAATTCTCTTCATTTTGTGATTCATAGTTTACATTGTAGGATACACTCTAATTGCAACGAGGAGTTGAAGTTGACATTCTTAGTTATGATTATTTGTTTTTGAACTTAGTCCATGACGAGCAACAGAGAGGCAGACCAAGAGTTGTTTGCCTAGAAGGTAAACCGCAAAGAGGCTGACCAAAACTTAAATGGGAGAAAGTGATTTAAAATGATTTTAAAAAATTAAATCTAAGAGAAGGCGTAGTATATACTAGGAAAGAATGGAAAAAGAGAATTCATGTGGCTAACCCCATCCATATGTGCTGATGCTGTTTTTGGAATTTTGACTGAATGTGAAATTGTAACCCTTTTAGTTTAACTTCCAGGAATAAGTTGCTAATGTTTTCTTTCCTTCTGTTATTTATTAATTCTTTTTTTTCAGGCTATCACAGAAGACGTTTCACCTTTAGTTGCCCTTAAAATGGAAGGTCCGATCCTCAGAGGACTAATGAACATCTTCACAGAATATATTGTCATCCTTGAAAGAGCCCTCACTAGTGAAACAAATTTTATAGAGAAAGGCTGTCCGAGAATCAGTTTGGCGGAGTCACCGGCACAACAAATTTCAGTTGTTGCCAATTTATCAACACTCGTACAACTTTTCTCCAGCATAATAACCAACTTCTTCAGAGGCATCAATCACTTCAGTTTCGAAGTTGATAACTTTAAAATATTTATCCAAGAGGCTTCTGATCGAGTCAGAGAACATTTCTGCAAGCAATTTATAAGTAGAATAATATCTCATGAAGGTGTCTATAGGCTTAAGTCAGAAACTTGTGTTAGCGGCCAGAGTGATTCTAACATGTTTCGTGATGCAATGCCTTCTGTTGCTTTCCAGGTATGCTGAAGCGTATTCGGGACTTTTTTAAAAGTAAAATGTGAGTAAAAAAAAAAGTTTATCTTAGCCTACCTGTAATCAGTATCTTCTTGGAATTTCAACATGAAACCTTCTTTTGATTATTTTAATGTTTCAAGTTTCAAAGTTTACTTACCTGGGGGAGGGGGTGGAGAGGTTTCAAATTTGTGGCATACAAAAGCTGCTACAATTGCCTTAACTGACTGGTTAATCTACTTCATGAGTTGATTGGAGAGTGACGACTTTATACTACAAATAATCTGTGAAATGACCTCATTCTTCTGCTGACCTCCCATCTTTGCTTATGCTGCATTCTTGGTTTGATCCTTTTCCTAAATTTCAGGCAACTCTACCTTACATTCTCACCATTGAAATTATCTCATGTTTTTAAAAAATTTAGGCACCTTCAAATACTTCAATTTATTTATCACCATTGGAAGTGCTTTATATTTAATTGTATGGTTGATGTAGAAACCATTTTGAGAACTGATTTTTTTTCAAAATACAGCTGCCTCTAATTTTGAAGTTTGCTTCTAAATTCTAATAAAACAACACACGGGTGTTTAGAGGATTACATCTGAACTTGGGCCTTTTTGTTTGAATCAGAATTTTCAATCATGATAGACAATTAATCTTGTCATTACTTTTGTCATACTCCTACTGTTGTTCCCTGTGTCCTATGGTTATTCTTTATCTAGGCCACATCTGCTAGTAAGTAACAAGTCACAGGCCACCATGACTTTTCTCACAGAACCCTTTATATTTGTCACCTTCCCTGCAAGAATGAGTTATATGGATATGGTTGATGTGCTTAAGGGAGATGAGTTTGGCTGAAATAATGTTCATTGAAGCTATGGAACAAGAATGTTACACTTAGTATGAGAAAACACTAAAATAAGGAGAAGAAAGTTCAAAAAGAATAATTTCAGTATCTTACCATTGATAGTTGGGAAAGAGGCTTGGATACATAGAAGATAGATTGTGCTCTAGCATAACAAAAAAGGTAGGAAAGAAAGAGATAAATGTGGCAATAGATGCTATGAAGGGCCAGCTATGCCATTATAAAAAACAGGGCAAGGTGCATAACTTCCAAAACGTGAATTTTTTTTTTTTTCTTTTTCGATGGTATTAGTTCATCTTATCAAGCTGTTCTAGATGGTATCTTTTGCAGGTTTTGGTTTAGTTTTGGTATTTGACTATCTAAGTAGTTCTATACTTTGCATATGCGAATTTTGAATATGCCTGAATTAAAATGAGTGGGATATGGGATAATAAGCATCAGTTGATTCACTTCTATTATTTTGAGTGAGATGATCAGGAACTTTTTCTAGAGCTGAGGAACTTAGAGAAACTTGCTGAAGACAGTGTTGTTGAACTTGACTGGTTGATGGATCTATTGGAAGAGCTAATGGAGACCATATTTGTTTGGATTTCAAATAATAAAGAAATCTGGACAATTACTGAAGAGGATTTGACTGCCCAACATTCTGGCATTTTTAAGCAGGTATGTATATTCTTTTGATTGTATGTGTGACTCTTCTGCCTGCTTAGGTATTCTTTAATTGATTGTTTTCCCTTTCCCATGCATCCTTGACTTTCTTTCCCTCGTCAATTTATGATGTGCGGTAATCGTGAAATAGTTGCTTCTTTGTGGTGCATCTACAGCAATTTTAGCAGGTGTGCAGGTTAATATCTAGTTCCCAATACAACCATGAAGAATATATAACTATTTGGACAGTTTAAATCCCACTTGTGTAGTTGTGTGGTGATGGTATAAATACTTCTTCATCTTATGAATTGTCTAACGCAATATCTTTGTTACAACATGTTAAATCCCTTCATTGCAATTCTATCCGATTCCATATTTGGTGGTCGATTTGCCTCTAATGCCCTCTGTATGACTCTCATTTTCACAGTGGCTGTATCATTGGTTTTCGTTGACATTACAAAATAATCTCCATAGGCCTTTTGTTTTTATCACAAGCATGGGCTATCCCTAGGTTTTATTGAGTGCAACCATTAATATTTCATTCCTGGTAATCTATTTTGTTGTCATATCACAGATGACTTATTCTACAATTTCTGTTGTACCCATCCCAAATACCTTTTTTGACTTTTATTAGTAATTGCTTGGTGTAGACACATTGTCTAAGTTATTGGTATCTGGGATGGCATTGTGATTCTTATTTTTGAAATGTTTATAAACACTTGTGGAGACATGGTAGAAGCATGTACTTTTAATATGTTTATTGCCTGCACTTGTTTTTTGAATCTGTATTTTAGCTGGGATTGAACTTAAAATTTTTGAGACGTGCACATGACACAAGTTGCTTCCTCCTCTTGGGCCTTTAGTAGATTACCATTTTTACCTATCCACAAAGGAAAAAATAAATTGGAATTCACCTTATTACAGTTGTGAAATTTATATATTTTCAAAATATTGTGAAGTCTCGTGATTTTGTAAGATACAAAATTCTATCTAAAAGTTAATGTGCCCCTTTGGCATACAAATAATTGTATGCGAGACCTCACCCATTTGTTTCAGTCTCATTAAAGCCTGACAATGACTTTCTTTTATAGTTTGGTTTCTTTGTTGGATGCATTTTGTAGTTTCATCAAGTCCTTGCATCATATCACTATTTTTTTTCCCCTGGTCATTTTTAAAATTATAGATAATTCAACTGAATGGGCTCACAGTCTCACTTTCATTAAAAGCGGATGGAGAGTTCAATGTTCTAGTCAAAGATTAGATTTAGTAACTTAATTCAGTTTAAACTTTTATGAGCTGTTATTAGGTCAATTTTGTGCCTGCCTTATTTGTGTTTCTCTGTCTATTGCAATGATGCTTTTTTTCTCACCTGAATTTTATCTAACCAAGTTTTTGATTAAACAGTTTGTTTTGGACATCCAATTCCTTGTGGAAATTGCAAGCCGTGGAGGATACTGCTCCAACAACATAATGAATGCATCCCTAGATCTTGTTTCTTGCATGGAAACAGCCTTTGTTTCTGCTGGGTTAGATCCTAAACGGTAATACTTTTTCTGCTAGTAATTGGTGCTAAAAATATTATATTGTTTGGATTCACTATCTATGCTCTAACTGAGAAATTTCTGGGTTGGCTACTCCAAGGTCCTTTTCATGGCATCAACATGTAGGTCTATTAAGAACTAAGCTTATGCCCAATATTGTGTGTGTGTGTGTGTGTGTCACTAGTATATATGACCAACTCCTACTTGAACCAAACATATTGATTAATTTAACGAAGTCAAGGTATAATGAATTGTTTGAGCAAGATTGAGACATATATGCATTGGGTTTGTGTTTGGGACTACCTTCTGGCCCAGAATAGTAGTCTGTAGATCGTTGTGTGGCTGCTGATGCCTTACAACTGGAATTGTTTTTTTGAGGTTTCTACCAACTGGAGGGTGTAAAACATATATGCATTGGGTTTATTAAGTTCATTACCTTGAGGGACCATCACATTATGGCTGTAGGAATGTTTCTACCAGTAAGCAGTAGTTGGAATAGAGTCTGAGGTTATCAGTGGTGCCGTGACAACTGGAACAAAATTTCAATCCCTTTTCAAAGCAATGCTTCATGGTGAGGTTATGGGGAAGTTATTTACTTTTCTTTCTTTCTTTTTTTGAGATAAATTACCCCAACCCTCTCGAGGTTTTTTCAAAATTACAGCATGCTTTCTCTGATTTTTATTTTTAAACACTGTTATGACCTTATTAAACACACTGTTTAAGGTTTTTTTGGATAGAGTTTGAGGTTATCGGTGGTGCTGGCCTTCCCTGTTAAGTTTTTAATTTTCAATCCGACCAATTTCCGCCGCAATGACCGAGAGTTGTGCAGAACGGTTAAGTTTTTAATTTTCAAGTGAACTATATCCTCACTCTCACACATACTCATTACCCTCCACTGGAACAACTATGATCATCACCTTAAATAGTCACAACCCAAAATCAACTTTTCCTTACTTTCACAAACCGATCATTATTAACATACTGCTTTCAAACCACCATAACTACTCAAATGCGCCCTAAACTTTTCACCGTCACCATACCCAATCAAAAGCATCACTTTTCCTTGTAAACTTACTATCATCCCCTCTTGAAACCATACTCTTCTACAACTCCCAAATCTTGTCACCAAACTCCATCATAGACCATCACCAAACTTAAAACTTTTACTCTCCATAGTCACCAATCGCCATTGATTGGTTATCCTAAAAATATTCATATAATGCGGTGTTTTGAGTGTGAAATTGCGTGATCTCAACTCTGAGCCTTTGTTCCTTATATTCAACTGATTTGTCTTAATATGAAAGAAGACAGGAAGAGGGTTTTGATTAGTGCCTTCCATAGATTCCGGCAAACAATAGAAAGGATAAAAGAGATAGTGGAGAACAATTTTAAATAGTGAGGATTTGATTAAATTACCATTCTGTAACTTAGGAAAGGAGAAATATGGCAGTTTGATTAATCTTTGTGGCTTTCATGACAAACTTGGATTTGCAAAAATTGTTTTTTACTTAAAATCTATAGATAGAAATCACCTACTGGGAAGCAATTTGGAAGTGTTCCATTGAAAATGAGTACCTCAAAAGTAAATTAGAAAGATGATGATGACTCCCAAACTGAACTCTCGTTGTGGCGCTACCATGATGGGAATGGGATAGTGATAGCAAGGAGAGTGAGAAAATGAACATCTTGCAGGAAGTGGGGGAACAAGTCCGAGGGCGTTTTAGGGAAGACCTTCGGGTGCTGAAGGATGCAAATATGCAATCCTAGGTGTAATTGGATATTTGTCAGTAAATAAGAGAGTAATCAAGTCATTTTATGCAATTGAATAAGGATAAAAATTCTTTTTTATAAGGGCAAAATTAGCATTATGAAAGTTCAATTTGCTAAGTAGATATAATCCACTCTTAAATGTTGGGAGGAATCTGTGTCAGGTTTATGTTATTATAGCAAACCACAAGGGAGGACAGATTGTTTACCCTTTTCTTTGCGCAATTCATGACAGTTGTTACATTTTAAGAAAGAAGGTTATATACTTGCTTCTGCTATTAAGTTGGACAGCGGACCTCCAACCTATCCAGTGAAGATCTTCTATTCTATCCTGTTTCCCTCTATTTTGATCTTTACCCTCTCTAATTTATTTCCATACACACCATAAGGGAAAGATTTTCATCATCGTAACATTATCATTCTGCTAGATGAATGTGTTGTTTGTGTTGAGCTTTAAAAAAGAAACAAGAGTAACGTGTTCATGTAACGGAAATAAGAATGTTAAGATGGATGGTCGGAATGACTAGAAGCGATTTTTTTTCTTTTTTCTTTTTGGGTGAGGACTAGAAGAGATAGGGTTAATGAACGAACGAGAGAAAAATTAGGAGTGACACCCATTAGTGGAAATAAGATTGTTATAGACTTAGATGTTATGGGCACTACAATGAAGACCTACAGATGCCCCAGTAAGAAGAGGAAGATTAGTTTTCAGAGCATCCAAAATTAGCTTAGAAATGCTTTCAAGGAGTTAAATATAATAAGAGAGATGGCGTGTAGTAGAAAAGAATGGAAAAAGAGAACTTATGTGGCTGACCCCATTCATATGGGATTATAGCAATGATGATGGCAATGCACCATAAGGAAAGGTAGCTTAAAAAATAAATTAAAATTTTGTGAAAAGTTGTCCTTCTCTTGTTCCTCTTTTGTGTTTTCAACCTTTTTTTTCATTTGTTACTCTTTATGTGTTGCTGACTTGCTGTTGATTCGAAAGAGAAGGTGTCATAACTACCAATTGCACCAGTTTTTCCCAAAGGACAGATAAGAACTAGAGTACAGTCTGATTTATCTTTGATTTTCACTTCAGCCTTTTCTTCTGTGAACTATTGAAATCCCTTAAAAAACAGTGTCTCTCTTTTCTTTTTGCAGTACCATAGAAGATGATGGATGGGCTATCAATGCTGCCACTGAAGCCCTTCAAAAACTAGAAGAGATGGCAGAAACAAACTTACCTCCAAATGAATCTTCAGAGCATTTTCAAGAGGAAATGAGTGAACACCCGTCCATGCTTGCAAGTGATTCCTTCAAGGATGATGACGCCATGAGTTATTCAGAGAAATCTGTCGAGTCTCTGGAGGATTCAGTTGTCGTAGATGTATCAGAAATTGCAAGTAATGCGGACTCAGATATTCCAAAGACAGAATTAGAAGCTGTAGATCTTCACAGGGATGGTGGTTTTGATGATGAGGACACTATAATCTCTGTTGCCACTTCTGTGCAATTAGAAGACACAACTGAAAATGCAGTTTATGGTGGGGAAGGCAAGCTGCCGACCCAATTACCGGACATGCAGTTGTCTGTGGGTAATGGTGGAGAAGCTTCTGGGGAATGGGTTTCTAATGAAGGCAAAACTAGCAGTCAGCAGGATGATTCTAGTCAAATGGTTTACAAGCTTGAAGAGAGCATACAAACAGAATTGCCAGCAACTGTTTCAACTAGGGAAGACATTGATAAACTGCGAGACACGGATGAAAATAATGTAGGGAAGGCTGCCGCTCCTACTCTGGAAGATTGTGACAAGAACTAAATCACAGTTATCCAGTCAAGAGAGAGAGGTTTCCGTGTTCTTAAGATATGGCATGTTGGATTGAATGCCAAAAATGCTTCAATGAAGTAGAATTCAAAAATAAAAGTTGAAGGGCTAATTTCTTATAGTTGTTATTTAATAATCATAAATAACGAGAGACGCTCCAGGCACTCCACAATAAAGATCCATTGTTGGTGTTGCTTGTATATATCATTTAATCCAACACTTTGGTACGCTTTTTGTTTATAGGTCCTGTTTGTTTGGATGCAAAGTATTTTTTCATCTTAAAATCTAATAAAAATAATTTATCATCAATTTTTGACAAGTTATTTTATATGTCTGTCTGATGGACTCAACCTTGATCCAAACCTTTGTCAACCACCGAAAAAGAAAAAATAAAAAATTTATTTTACCTTGAAAAAAATATCTTTTCTGAAAAAAATATTTTATGTTAAGAACAGACGGAACCCTCACCGCTTTGTTTTGTTGAGTATTATAGCAGTTGTCAGTTTGATATTTTTAGCAGTAATCGAACTCTTAAATAACATTTTTAAAGTAAACATTATATTTTTTAAACTTGCAACAACTACATAAAACCAAACCAACATAGACCAAGAGGTCACAAAATCATTATCTGACATATGATGTATACGAAGGGCGCAAATCCTCTGCTGTGAGAATCCTATGCGGTCCCCTGCAGTGGGTTTTGAGTGGCTTATATTTTGCCCTTTCATTCTTCATTTCATAACTCTTGATATAGCGCAAATCATCTGCCGTAAGAATCCTATACGTTTTAAGTGGCTTATATTTTGCCCTTTCATTCTTCATTTAATAACTCTTGATATAGCGCAAATCATCTACTGTAAGAATCCTATGCGGTCCCCTGTAGTGAGTCTTAAGTGGCCTATATTTTGCCACATCATTCTTCATTTAATAACTCTTGAGACAGCGTTTGGATGCACCAATTACTAAAAATTAAAAACCTTCACCACCATTTGCAAATATCTTCACCCTCAAAATAAGATATGCACATAATACAGACTAAATAATAGCACATATACAAACGTAACTCAATTCAACATACTGTGTTTGACAATTACACCACCATTTATAACATTTCATCCCCATTTATAAAAAAATTTCACCTTCAAATTAAGATATATACATAAATGGTGATGTTACTTTTAAACTCCTGTAATGTTACTTTTTAGACTCTGTAAATGGTGATGTAATTACCAAATACGGTCTCAATTATCAATATACGGTCTCAATTATCAAATGGTGATAAATGACGTGGCCAAATATAAACCACTTAAGAACTTACTGGGACCGCATTAGAATCCACAGCAAAGGATTTGTGCCCGTATACAAACCACCAGATAACTCACAAGTAACATGAAATTCGTCCGAAAAAAGGAGCTGCACCCAACATCATCTTAGAAAATAAAGCAATCCCTCCTCCAATCCCTATGGGAGGGACAACATATGACGCGTACCCAGAAGCCGTCGAACACCATCAACCTTTTCACTTTGATGAGCATGATATAATCAATTTTGTCAATGCCACCATTGATCATCAAACTTGAATTCATTTTCTCATCTCAATGAGACTCGAGATCAAAACCAACACCTGCTATTCTTTGGCTGGGCTGATAATGTAAAACATGCGGTACTAAAAGAACTTGCATGTATAGACTTGTAACTGAAAAAATTTACATGCATGAGGTAAGATCTTTAGTCCCAGCAACGTTAGTAGCTAGCATGCATGTCTTCCCTATTTTCTTAGGCTCGACTATAGAGCTAATGTTCCCCAATTTCCTATCAATTTTAACAATTGAAGGGTAAATAGAGTTTCAATAAAGGGGGTAGGGACAATCCATCACAGCAACGAAAATCCTTTTAAGTTCTATGGATAAGAAACATCTCAGTAGCAACGTTGACACAAAAGTGCCTGAATCTACAAAAGTCCAAAGAACAACCTTAAAATCATTTTTATGACATAATTAAGAACAAAGTGACACCAACATGACACCTAGCAACCTACTCCATAACAAACATATAACAGCCATTATGGTTTACTGCCTATTTTCACGGCGCCTCACATAACGGGTTCGGTCATTGTATCTTGGTCTGTCTCGGGCTCTTTCGGGCAGTGGCTCCACTCTCCTTTGCCTCTCTGGAGACCTTTTAACTATCTCTCCATTCACTAACAGCTCCGCTGCAAATCAACACAATAACAGATACATTCAGAATCATAGAATTTCATTTTAACTTTCCTTGTTTCAGAATATGGGTGAATAGAAGTAATTCAGATATTGGAATTTTGCATAATTGGTTGTATTTGATGTAAGGCTGGTTCCAGTGTAGACTAATATAGTAGTTGAGATTTGAGAACATAGGCGAATAACAAAGAATGATGACTTGAGACTACTACTACAATTCTTTGGTAAAGAACATCAGGTATGTAGTTAATGATTAGTTGGAGGTGGATTGGTGGGAATCCAAACATCCTCCATTTATACGGGACAAGATCCAGATACTACCTTACACCCCGTGGGCCAGTAGTAAGTTTGGAATTAATCGAACCAACAAGTAAACAAACAATGCAATAAATCTTGTCAATCTATCCTTTCTTGAGTACGTAATGAAACAGATTCCCTCCTGGAAAGCTTGAAAATTGAAATAGTTTGTGATAAAAGAGCGTAGAACATAACCTACAAACACGCAGAACTATACCTTAATGCTTATCCCAAGTAGTACAGTAATAACATTGAATTCATTCATGATAAGATAAAGGAATCAAGAACAGAAGAAGTATCTAGGAGGCTGTGGCCATGTGCAATTAAATCCAGTGAAAAAAAAAAAAGTAAAGGATGTGACCAAGCAGTCTTAACAAAGGAAGTATCCTTGTGAGCTTTGGGCTTATCAGAGAGTAATATTTACTTGGAATCTTATCCAAGTTCAGCTCAGCCACTGAGGTCATTGTTCAAACTAAGATTCCAAGTTTATGTTAATTGCTTATAGTTTCTATCAAACCCCAATCCTATAAGGTATGGCTGGTTTAACAGTTACACTATAGATATTACAGAATACTAAATAAAAAATTATCAATGAAATCTCAGAAAGCATTGAAAATTACAAACAACATGTAAGAGTCCCAATATTGAAAATATTGTGTACAAAAGGAATTCTCCTAGAATGAATCAAAAGGTAAATACCAAACAAAATATTTTCAATACAAACAACATGTAAGAGTCCCAATATTGAAAATATTGTGTACAAAAGGAATTCTCCTAGAATGAAACAAAAGGTAAATACCAAACAAAATATTTTCAATAATTGAAAATAATCTCTATGGATTGCTTATTCATTCTGTGTTCATTGTTGTAGAAAGCATAATGGATTGCTTATTGCCTTATTAGGGAAGGCCTTAAGGTAAAAGGGTAGGCAACCCTATTGATTTTAAGTCTTAAGGTCATAAAATATAAAATATTAAAAATGTAGAATATATATGTAATAAAAACGATACTTGAGACCAAAAAAAATGAAGAAGAAGAAGAAACACATATGAAAAATATAGTAACATAAATGACAATAAATACTATGAATATGAACTTCGATAACATTCACATCACTTTTGACAAGCTAGTCCTTGTATTTGCCAAAGAACTATCCACACCAAACCCATGTGTCAACAGATCAAAACAAAAGCTAAGTTATTAAGCACGCACATGATAATTGCACTTTAAACTGAAATTTGAATAATTTTTTATTTTTTTTTAATAGGTAAGATCTGAATGAAAATTTAGATAGCACTTAGATTGACTTACCGCCATAATCCTTATTCTCAACATCAACATAAGAATCAGGCAGGACAAACAGAACACCGGGCATACCTATAAAATTGGAAAATGTAACCATTCAAATTAAATCATTCCTCTTACATAATTACAACTAAGAATTAAACCAAAACTGAGCACAAACCGTCAAGCTTATTCGATGTCTCCTCATCAATCTCGCATCCAAACCCAAAGTACCTCTCACAAGACACATTGTAAATCTTCTTTTTGGCTTCCTCTTCGCTGATGTTCCACAACAACAAATACATTTTTACCATAATAATAAACCCAAAACTAAACATCAGTTGGAATAGACAACATATCAAAACATAAACCTTCAGTCCCTCTCCAGAGAGATCCGTAAGCCCTAATTGTAACATGCTGAAATGCATAAACCCTAAAATATAGAGACGAATTCTCTTAATTAGGCCACTGTCACAAAGCTAGGGTTAGAATCTCTGGCAAATGTCACAAAGCTCGGGTTAGAATCTCTCTAACATACAAGAATCCATATCACATACGCAGCAGAGGAACCCAAAAACCATTTATTTTACACGCACGCACAAACCCTTACTCTTTCCATCTCTAAATTCATTTCTCTCCACGATCTCCTCTCTCTCTATAGATTTATATAGATTTATATTCATAGATATAGGTGTATATGTGAAAATTTACCTTCCAAGGACCTTTGCAAGTGTGTCGATGTAACACTGGATCATCTCCTGCTTGGTGGCGGCGCCACCGGGCTTGTCCATGACAATGAGCCAGTGTTCGTAATCGCAACCCGGAAACAGCGGAGCCATCTCGGTCGGAGGCCGATCGCTTATGTTCCCGGAGTTGAGTGGCGAGTAGGTGGACCCACCAGACCGGTTCGCCCTGCACCGTATCTGGTTCAATCGAATCGCCGCCGGAGCGGCAAAACGGACGGAGTGAGAGATCATGCTCGTGGAGCGGACCGATCGAACAAAGCCAGGAAGTGGAGGGACTTTGCCTATAGAAGAATAGGATGACAAGAGCCGTTTAGAAAAACATAGATACGATGACGATGACATTGATCGGACGGTCAGGATTGATCGGGCTACTGTTGCAGCCATTGTTGCCGCCATGGATGTGAAACGAAACGAAAGGAAGGTAAGGGTTTCAGAGAAGATAATGAGGGTTTGGGGCTACTAGGTATGTAGATAGAGTGGTGTACGTGTAAATAGCAGACTGATGATTGAGTGTCTTGGGTTTATGTGAACTCGATGACGTGTGAGTATGCAATTGGTTAGACTGCACTGACGCTCTGGGTTTTAGCCAATCAAAATTTAACCCGTGTAAATTATTATTATTATTTTTTTTTTCCTCTTTTGAAAAACTTGTGTAAGCTTTCTGAACCAAATAGAAAGAAATTTAAATTTCCAAAAAATAAATAGAAAGACATTTTCTGGTGTTTGGACGACTCAATAGGATAGGTTCAGATAAAATCCTGTATTCATTCATAAACTGATAAACTTAATAAAAAAAATTATTACATATTTATTGACAAATAAAAGAGATGTTAGTAATGGTGATTTTTGCTTGGGTGTAGTTTCCAATAATCATCTCATACGCCCATTTGAATGTTAATTAACACGCTTATCAATTGACCAAATGAGAATGAATTAAAAGTATCAAATTTAATTATCAAATGAGTATGAACATGTTATTTTTGATTATCAAATCATAAATATTGAGTATATATTTATTTACCAAATCAAAGTTGATGAAGGGCTATTTGGATTGGCTTTTCAAACATTGCTTTTAACTTTTAGAGTTCAAAAGCTATTTAAAACGGTGTTTAACTAATTTTTTAAAAGAACTTTAGGATTTTGGAAGGGTGTTTTAGGCAAGTTGGTACCCCTATCTTTTCTTAAATACACGGGAAGCTAAACTTTTGTTTTAATGAATATTTTCCAATGACAACCGTACACCTTTTCTTAGTCAGAGAAAAAATAAAAATCCGACCGTGTTCCTATAAGAGCCTCATTCTGATTCTTCCTAAACCCTAGTACGATAATCTAATGCTCTGCAGAAGATCGTCTCTGCAATTTCTATCTCAGGTTAGCTACGTTCCTCCTTTCATCTTCAATCCCACCCAGAATAAAACTAAGTGTGTGTATATATAGAGATATAAATATATATTCATTTATGTTGCATTATCAGCCCTAATTTCTCATTTATCTATATAATGAATTTTTTCTTTCAGTTTCCTATCTTTTCTCAGACAACACCGGCGGCGACCTCCACTAAAACCAATGACCATCCATATTGGAGGTGATTTGTTTTCTTCCCTTTTTATTTTTCATTTTCGGAAGACTTAATTTTGGGAAATTTGCAAAATTCATTCCATTGTATATCATTATCTTAATTTTTGGTTTAATTGAGATACCAACCCAATTGGGACATGTTTCTTAAAAATTAATTAAGTTTACTGGCTGTGTGTATGCTTTATTGAGGGCTTTTGTGGGGGCGACTTTAAGCTCACATACTTCCATTGTAGGCACCTCCTATTGCAATATATGTTTATTTCAACAGTTCTTCATTTCTGTGTCATTTTTATCTCATAAGTTTACTTCATTTCATGGTACGTTTGGAGAAAAGTAATAGGTTAATCTCTTTTTACAAAAAGTTTGGTACATGTTGGTGGCTCTTTTAACTCATAAATTTTTAATATATAGCCGATCATTGTGGTTTCATAAGAAATGCAGTTGGACTAGTTTGAGTACAAAACATAGAGGATATTTGATGGTCAATGATTTGTCCCCATTTTTGTTTTCTAAATTCATAAAAGTTTGTAGCATTTACCGCGATATGCCCAAAGAGGGTTGAAAATATTTAAGAGCCTCGATGTGCATAATTATAGTGATTAAGGGGCTCACGAGACTGAATTCAAGTTCATTACGTACAATTATGGGTTACAAATAAGTAGTTTTGGCACTTGGCAGTAGTACCAGTATAAAACTTATAGAAGCAGTACCAAGATTTTATGAAAATGATGGTATTGCTTTATGCTTCAATTTCGTTCTTAATCACTCTTTATTGTATGGGTGGATGCGTTTCAAGTTTGAAATTCCAACAGTTTCTGTTTGATTGGAATATCTCTTATAATGGTGAAATGGTGGTGTTTGTGTTAAATGGTTGTTTAAAGGTTTGAAATGCTTGGTAATTTCAGTTAGACTAAACCAATTTCCTTTATTTATTTATTCTCAACCTTTTCTACACTAATATAAATTTCTTAGGCTGTTCTATTGTGTTTACTGGTATTCCTATTACTTAATAGTTGATCATGTTCTGTTGTAAATTAGATGACAATTGAGGAGACAAAAGTGAAACGAAATCTATATGGGACTCAAGGATGTACGAGATTTTTGTTGATCTTGCTGTAAAACAACACGTGAGGGCAAATAGAGCACACAAGAACAAAGAGGTTTGGAATATGTGATGAGATGAAATATGGGATATTTGTTGAAGCACAAATGCAGAATGTACCTTCTCCTCAAACCACCACCAAAACCGGCTGTCACCACCCTCACCACACACCACCCAACCCAGTGAACTGAAACTGTCATCTTGTTTATTATCCCACACGTGCATGCATAAGGTTTTGATGTACCAGCTTTTTAGTTTTGTATTGCATTGTACTCTTTTTGGGCCACTAATGTGGACAGTGTTTCAAAATTTCTTTTTTACCCATCTTTACTTGTCTGGCCTTGGGGAATGCCTCATGTTTTTTTTTTTTTCTTGTCCTAGTTGGGTACTCACGCACACATGCCTCCACGGAAGCTCGAACCCCTGATCTCTCTTTGAGAAGTAGGGACTTGGTACCGTTAGACCACTGGCCTGTTGATAATGCCTCATGTTTTTATTGTAATTACTCTTTTGTTATACTATACCACTTAAATACTGAAAAAAAAAAATTTGTTTATGTAATTTCATTATGTTTAATGGGTTGTTTGTATGTAGTAAACGTCCAGTGTAATTGTGGAAGATGAATTCCTAGCTGGACTGATTGCTAAATGTAATCTTGATATTTACTATTTTCTGAAATAAAATTTATTGTTTCTTGCTGTTGAAAAAATATATGTATTCCATTGAAAAATGTATCTCATGAATATAGATAATTTCCATTGATATTTTTTTATTTAAGAAAAAAAAAAAATTTGTATTTTTTAATTATACAGATTGTGTACATGGCACTATTGAGTACGCATGGGATTTTTTTGGCCTTGTTAAACCCTGATTTTGGTTTGGATTATGGGCTTGTTTCTCTGTAGTGTTCAAGTAGAAAGATTTTTTTTTATTTTATTTTATTGTATTTTATTTGGTTTGGGTTTGTCTATGGGTGCTCACAACTCATATTTGTCACGGATGAAACTCTATTTATGAGAATAGTTCGGTTGAAAAGTACCTTCTTCATGCTCTCCTGGTGATTAGTTAGATGCATGGAACATCAAGGTGATGTGAATTTCTTTTTCTTCATACAAACAATTCTTTTTTTAACATAATTTTTGCAATAGATAATTTTATCAAACATCATTTATGTTTTCAAAAGAATAATAGCTAGAACCGAAACTACTGGTTGGGACAAGGTAACAAAATACAATGGACGGGATAACAAGATATGAAAAAATTGGTATTTCAATCCGGGGTAAAATAGTTATTTTAATAACAGAAGAGATTTGGCAAATGATTTGCCAAACACCAAAAAAACTCTTTATATCATTAAAAGCTCTTCTAACATGTCCAAATGTTATTTCATAAGTCGAGTCAAACTGATTGTTTTTGCTTCTCTTTTTCTTTTGTATAAAAGTAAAAGCAAAAGTTATGTTAAACGAGACCGAAGTAATTACTATAATTAAAAGGACGTGCCCATTTGTTAGTGGACCACGACAATAGTTGAGATGATGTATATCCTCACTAGTGAAAACATAAATATGATCCTTTTAAAATAAAGCACAACTGGATTTAACATTTAAATATAATCTAAATTAAATTAAATGACAACAAAACATGTAAAAATAAATATTGTAAGACTATAGCACCTGGACCATGGATATTTGTATTTTGTACTATATGAAATAAGGAAAAAATATTGGGTTTAACCACAATGCTTGGGTTTCATTTGGATAAATAGGAAATAAAAGAAAATAAAGTATAGCTTTAGTTATGAGAAAAAAGAAAAAATAATAATAATCTCTATTTAAAAAAAATATATATTGATAACAATATTTTCTATTTACTGGTATTGCTTAATTACTTATCCTCCAAATATTTTATTTCTAGAAAGATAGCATATGAGGGATTTGGATGGATATCTCTCCTAATCATTTATTTTTTCTCCATTTAAGACAATTCAAACACAATTCACATATTCATTTATTTTCATTTACTTACAAATCCCTCCAATCATTCAATCTAAATGGAGCCTAAATCATTATACTTTGTAATTAATATATATATATATAAGCAAAATCATCCATCATTTTATGTAATGTCGCAAATACATTTTCGTCTCCCATCAAAGAGTTGTTGAGTATTGTACTCGGTTGATATTTTTATTACTTTTCAAAATAGATAATTGAGAGTTTAAGTTTGTCTAAAATAAATAAATAAAAATAAAAATAAAAATAAAGAAGAAGAAGAAGAAAGAAAGAAAAAGAAAAAAAGAATGCACGACTTATTTGTCATGACTAAAAAAAAGCCCTTCGAGTATTTAGATAATATGCAATATTTTTAAACTAAAGAGCAAAAATGTAAATTTCAATGATATAAGAAATGGGAATAATTATGCTTTGTTCGGTAGGAAATAAAAAAATTGAATGGAAGATAGAGAAAAAATAATGGATGAGACATCCTTAGATAAGAGATTATAAATTTCCTTCTTTTTGTTCGGTTGAATAGAAAAGAAAAGAATAAATTCATAATTTACCATGTTCGTCAAGAAAAAAGAAAATAGAAAATTTTAATTGTTTTTACCATTATATTAAATAATATTTATAATATGGTAATTTATAGAGGATATTACTGTAATTTCAAACTTGTATAATTTAGGATAACATTTAATTTTAAATTTCTATAATAGTCCACTTGTCTTCCTTCCTTTTTTCCGCCCATTTTTTTATGGATGAAAATTTTTAAAGGAGGAAGGATGCCTTTTTCCTTTATTTCCTTATATCATCTCTACTAAATAAATGAATTTTGTTCCATCCTTCTTATTTTCTCTTCACACCTCTTTCTTTTTTTCCTACTAAACACATCATTAGTGAGGATTGAAGTCATAAATGTCATTTCCTCGTTACAAGTTGAAAAGTTAACATGTTTAAAAATCACTATGACTAAATAAATTTGGTCACAAGTTCACATGGACCAATACGCAATATATTGGCTGATTCGTAATATATTTTTAAGAGTCTCATATCAGCTGGTTCAATTAGTTTACACTAATATTTATCTAAGTCCGTTATATCATGATCGCGATCGATACTAAGACCGTAATTACAAACCATAATCTGTTAATTTCTTATTTATAAATTTATTATTTTATTTTATATCATACATCAGGTGTCTTTGTTTTTGATGCTATTGCAATATTGCATAGGCATCTTGTTAGGGATCAGATTTCAGATTTCAACCATTGTTTTCAACACTCAACAAGCTTTGCAAGAGTTTCATTTAGCTGAACGTAGAATAAGTTTCTTTACAAAGACTTTAAAAGATCATAAATATAAAATTTGTAAGCAACAAGACTCTATAATAAGTATGAAGAGACCTGCTTAATCATGTAATGATTTTTTGGAATTGAAATTGTGGGTTGCAAGGACTTTAAATTGATATTTTTTTATTTATACTTTTTTGAGTTGCAAGGGTTCTAAAATCCAATGACAATTTATAATGACACTAATTATAAAATAGTTAGATGTAAATCAGTATTTAAATTTAGTATTTATATAGTTCATTTAACTAACGCCAACTATTACGAATAATTTATGATTTTTAATGATTTAACTAAGGTGAGAGTGAGTGATTAACAATAAGTGGTGTCCATTGAGGTAAAATATATGGGTAATTTTGTTTGGATAAACTGTGCAATTTGTTAAGATGTGTAAATTTTGTTTAAATTTTAAAAATATAAATTGGAAAAAGTGAGAGAGCACCATAAAAGAAAAGAAAAAAGAAATTAGATTTTTAATTATTAGTTAAAAAAATAGAATTTATGTATGAATAATGATCAATTTATGTAATTACTGATCAATTTAAAGACTTGTTAAACTTTAAAATTAAACATTCAATCCATAATAGTATATAGATTTTGTTACTGCAATCCATATTCAACCTTTTGAATTGAATAAGAAAACAAAAAAAAAAAATTGAACAAGAAACAAAATTTGGGGGATAAAAATATTAGGGAAAATTACATATAAATGGAGTCAAAGTTTCATATTTACTTAGAGACTGAGTCAAAGTTCCATATTTCTCTCAAATGGATTGCTGAGGTGGCACATGGTTTTTTACTGTTTAGAAAATTGTGGTGCCTAAAATGTCCTTCCCTAACCAAAAAGTAGTACCTTCAGTTCAAAAAAGTAGTACATTCAGAGAAAAAGTAGTACTTTCGCGGGTGTTTAAAAAACATGGTACCTGGACGCCAAAAAGTAGTACCTTTGGTTCAAAAAAGTAGTACATTCTCAGAAGGGTATTTTAGGCACCACAATTTCTAAACAGTAAAAAACTATGTGCGACCTCAGCAATTCATTTTAGAGAAATATGTAACTTTGATTCAGCCTCCAATTAAATATGAAACTTTGACTCCATTTATATGTAATTTTCGCCAAAATATTAAGATAGGTCTAATTTTACGGGACAAGCAGCGAAACAGGAGGTCCTATGGCGCTTTTCTCAATTTTGGCCTTTTGCCTTCCCCCCAATGGTGCTGCAATATTTGCAATCTTGAAAAATGCGCGCCAAGCGTCGGCGCTCTGCCCAAATTGTAAACATTTATATTCAACACCACACATATCTACACATAATTATACAGTCTCGTACACATATCACCTCTCTGTCTTTCATTTTTTGCAGAAGCAGTTCAACTTCAACTTCAACCTCAAGAAGCCGCTAATGGCGGACACTTCGAACCACGCTCGATTTCTTAATCCATGGCTGCTTCAATTCCAGAAGATGGGTCTCGAGCTCATATGCCCTCTCTGGTATTATTTTAATTTCTCTTATCATTTTTTTTTAACGCTTTTTGCGTTTATGTACATTTAACCACACACACACATAATGTTTTAGATATGGCTAATATGGTTTTACATGTTATCTTTGCATTTACAGTTTAAAGATGCTCAATCGACCAATGTTGCTCCCTTGTGACCACATAATCTGCCAGTCTGTATCTCCTTCATACTTTTTGATCTTTTCTGGTTCTCTTTTTTTGTTATTTGGTTTCTTCTACATTGATTTGTTGATTTGGAATTTGAGTATGATTTCTTGAAAAATTGATCAGTTCCTGTATGCCCACATCGACCCAATTTGGATCCGAATGCCCTGTCTGCAAACAACAGTATTCTCATCGAGGTTCGAATTCTTTTTGCTCTCTGCCAATTTAGAATAGCGTTTCATTTAGCTTCTTTTTTGTTTCAACGGGAAAGTAAGAGTTATATTTCTGGAAAATCAAAATGTTGTTAGCCCTCTGTTTGTGGATGGATAAGATGACATTAGAATGTAGAAAAGCTATACTTAAATTCTTTATTTTGCTTTTCAATGGTATTTTTCCTGCAATCTTCTGACCGAATTTGGTTCGTTGATTCCTTAAAACGTTTAGCAAAAAATAAAAATAAAAATCAGACATTAGAAATTCTTATGCAACAGAACTGTGGTAGAGACTAAAGAGTCTTATTATTTATATAAAATTTATAATTTCTCGTGTAAGGAAAATATTTTCCAGCAAGGGAAAGTGGTTTTGGTAATTTTTTTTTTGTAATGGTGTGGTTACATGGTGCTGATGCAGATGTAAGACCTGCTCCTTACATGGAAAATATGGTGACAATTTATAGAAGCTTGGATGCCGCTTTCATGACTAGTTGCTTTCAGCCTGCTTCTTCTGGTACTGCCACTAAATAACCGTTTCTTTATGAAATTTGTTCTTATATATATGTGTGTGTGTATTTATATATCTTTTTCTTTTTATAGTCTATAAGAGATTCATGATGTTTTATTGGATGGGTGTTGTTTTTAATCCCTGTAGATGTTGGGAGGGTGCCAAATGATGGCTTAAGCAAGGAGGCAATTGAAACTCGAGAGGGAAACTCTAGCAATGGGCAGTCGAGGTATTCACTAACATCTAACAGGCGAGTTCAGGCTACACTTAATCAGTCTGTTCAAGATGGGATCGAATCGACCGTAAAAAATGACAAATCTAGGTCGCCAAGAACTACTTGTGTGGAAGAATCTGATATGTGTGCTAGGGGCCCAGTAGTTTTGCATGGAGAGGGTAAGTTGACTCCTGCAAAATCTCCTGGTTGGGTGGGTGCTGTGAAGCACAATGAGCTTGGAATAGAGCAAGTAGACATAGATCAAGTGACAAGATCATCTTCAGGCAGCCCTCCTTCCTTTGGTGATACGAAAGATATGGATGACATCAATGATCCAGGCTGCAGCAATGCTGTAAGGTTCTTGTATTTTAAAAATGATATAATTGGTTTAATGTTTAATATATCGTTATAACTTTGATCTTACGCATTGATTTAAAGTTACCTGTGATAGATTCCTTATTTGTTTGTGTATATTGTGCATGTGCAGTGTATGATGCCTTATAGGTTTCAGATTGCTGGAGTTCTGATATGCATTTCTTCATAGTTTAAGATGCATTGTAATAGTTTCTTCTGCTTATGTTTTACCAATTTGTTGATAAATCATAAACAAGATCTTTTGAACCTGGGAAAACTATATGTATTCTCCTTTTTTTCCTAGTTGGTACTCACACACACGTCCCTTTTGAGACTTGAACCTCTGACCTCCCTTTGGGAGGTAAGAGGCTGATACCGTTAGGCCACTGGCCCGTTGGTAACTATATGTATTCTCATTATGACGAGTTATGATTGTCTAATAGGGTTGGAAGTTGTAGATGCAAAAAATACTATAATTGATTTTTATTCACCATTTTTTGCAGATTCCAGAAAAATTTCCAGCAAAGAGAATAATTACTAACCACTCTGATAAAGCAGGAGGTGAAATGAATGGCAGGCCTTCTCCTGGAACTGAATTTGGTCATGCTAGGAATGCCAAGAGACAAAAGAAATTGAACTATGGCATCTCAGAGAAGTGTGCAAAAAGCAATGCCCACGCACAATCGGCTGTTTTGCATTCTGAAAGTACAGGAAATTCTGGAGTTGAACATAAATTTGGAGGACCTTTTTCTTCAAAAGCATATACAAGTGTCTGTGCATTTTGCCGGTCTTCTAAGCTCACAGATGTAAATTGCAATTCTTCAATTTATTTATACTTCATTTCTTTCATCACCATTGACATTGCTGTGACCATCATGTTTGCTTGTCATGAAGAACCATTTCTGTTTCTATCTCAAAACATCTTAAAGCAAGTTAAACTTTTTGAGTTTAATATCTTTTCTGTTGTTATTGGGTGCTTCCAGAGATCTGGGCCAATGTTGCATTATGCCAATGGAAAAGAGGTAATAGGAGATGCGGCCACCCATCCCAATGTCATACATGTACACAAAACGTGCATTGAGTGGTATGCCATCTCTCTGGGACCTTATCTGCAATTTTTCCAAGTACTACTAACATTTTGAACTGTTGCCTATAACTTTGATATTCTTGGAGTATTTATTTATTTTATTTTTTTCAAAACCTGGGCTATTCATTTTATTGAAGAGGGAAAGTAAAGGGTGAGGCATTTTAGGCCTTGTAGGCTGTAGTTCAGATTTCCAATTCTCTTTTGTTATTTGAATACTCATATGTAATAGAAAATTGTGGGAATAAAAATAAATTGCAAATGAAATTAAATATGCTATCTTGTCTTCTATGATTTTTATCTGTCTACCGATTTGTTGCTTAATTGTTGATGGTTTCTGAATTGATGTTGATTAAAGCTTATTAAATGTCAAAATTCTTGTAATACTTGTGCTTGGGACATATACCTCACTAGTTTTATGGGCTGCATATGTCATTTATTGTTCAGTCATTGCATGTCATCTCTATGTTTATGGTCCTGTTAAGTTGATTGAAAAATGAGTAGGTTTTTTCAAAATTCATTAGGTCGGTTGGTATTTTTTGTTTTTATAATTTCATTATATTACATTATCCTTTAACTGATTGGGCCTTATATGACGGGACCTTGCTATGGATTTGCCATTGCAGGACACCTCAAGCTTATTATGATGGTGAAACTGTGATGAATTTGGAGGCAGAAGTGGCAAGAGCCGCAAAGCTGAAGTGCAGTAGCTGCGGGATAAAGGGGGCAGCACTTGGCTGCTTTGTGAAACACTGCAAGAAATCTTATCATGCTCTTTGTGCTGTGGACTTAGATTGCAGATGGGATTGTGTGAGTTAACTATGTCCCTCTCTTCTTGACACACTCAAGCGCACAAATGTATTTCTCGTGAAGTTTTACTCATCAATTGCTTATTCTTTACTTTTACAGGAAGATTTTCTACTGCTTTGCCCAAATCACTGCTCTGCCAAATTTCCAAGTGAAAATTCCAAGTCCGAGAAGAACTCCAGGAAAAAAGAAAATCATTTGTCATCTCAGATGTACATATTTTCTGTTACTCCTTACATGTATACATGTGTGTGTATTTGTGAATAAGTCAATATGAAAGCATGATCAATTATGCTATTAATAATGTTTTAGTACCTGATGTTCTAGTACCTTCTGATGGTATAAAATATAAGGTCTGAATAAACATTTAAATTTGGTCTGTACTTAATTTCTTGTTAGAACTTGTTTCAAAGCAATGATAAAGTTGCTGTTGTCTGGAGTATATTTTTGGGGTTAAGAAACTCTCAAGTCTATCTATATTTGCAGTGAATGAAAATTTTTTGTCTGGTGTTTTTTCTTTTTCTGGTTACTCTTTTATCCTGCCCCTTATAAGAATACAGCAATAGCTTTGCTCTTTGCCCTGTGCATATAGTTGCAGACTGTCCTACTTTGCAATGTGATGCTTTTATATATATATTTTTCTTTTTACCTGGCAAATAACATACCCATACATTTAGAGTAGATGGCGGTTAACACCCTCGACCTTCCACTTTGGGAGATAAGGACGTTTCAGTGGGTACAACCTTTGGTTGTTGCAATGTGATTCAATTGAGTAACCATAGTAAAAAGTGCTTGTATTCTGCAGCTAAGTGCTCAACTGCTCATGTTTTAGTTCCATTCTGCCTTTTGCACTGGGAGAGTTTCTCAGGAAGTATATTTCCAGTTTTCTTCAAAAATCTGATTTCCTTACCAAGAAAATCATAGAAACAAAAAGTTTGGGTTATGATTTGCCATTCCTTAAACTGGAAAATTCTTATTTTAATATACTTGATTTTTTCTCTTTTATTTTGTAATGTTTAATCTGGTTGTTAGGTGTTTCATCTGTTATTGCTATTTGTTTCACATCTATTGGCCGTTTCTGACTTTGTCTGCTTTTCCATCATTGTGCATACAGAACAGTGAAGCAATCTGACTTTTGGGCTGCAGAGCCTAATGGAGCCAAAGAATGGTTATTATGTGGATCTGCTCTGTCTGTTGACGAGAAGGTTGGTTCTCTATGTGTACAATGTAAAAATTTAGATGGATTTTCCTTTTTTTCAACCTCTACACCAAGGAGAAGGTTGGCTGTGTATAATGTCTAAACAATGTATGTCTTCTAGACATAGTCTGCATATGGTAAACGTGCTCATAGTAATGTTCAAATAGCAAAAATTAGGCCTTCGATGAAGATTATCTCATGTGATTGCAATCGAAAAATGTTCACTATGGCGGTTCCAACAGACACCACGAGTTCTATTTGGGGCCTACAATAGTTGAAATCTCATTTGCTTTCACATGGTTGTGATGGTCGTACTGGAAAAACTTCTAGCTTATTTATATGCTTTTATTTTTGTTATTTCCGTTTGGTGGGTTTTTGTTTTGTGCATACAGGGGGGTGAAAATGCTAGAATAATCATCTTAGATGAGGATCATATCTGCAAAAGCATATAAAAAGAAAATCATTCATGAAATTGAGCATCTAATTGTGCTGTTATTCTGATGGTTGGTTTTATTCTTCATGCGTCAATCCTGAAATAACTTGATTGTCCTTTTTCGGCTTCTGATTTGCAGTATCTTTTGGTCAAATTTGCAAGCATTTGTGGAGCAACTGTGTCCAAGTTTTGGAAACCGAGTGTCACCCATGTGATTGCAGCCACAGATGCAAATGGTGCATGCAGCAGGACGCTGAAAGTTCTTATGGCGATTTTGAATGGGAAATGGATACTGACGATTGACTGTAAGCTCTGATTATGTGTTTCAGTTTGTTATTTATGTAAGTTTAAATTGTTCCATCTTTTTATCTTTGCTGCTGGGTAAAGAGCGTAGTTAATTCCTTCACTCTTCTGTGTGTGGAATGCAGTGAAAGAAATTATTGGTCGGTCATTTTTACATTGTAAATGTGATGTTTACTAACAATGACAAGATAATTCCACCACCCACCCTGCCCGCCCCCCTCAGAAGATGAAGAAAAAGGAAAGAAAATTATATGATGTTTGAGTTACCAGTTCATCAATCTGGACCCATTTATGATCCTTTTTTCCATCTCTGATACAGCTTGATTTCTGGGTCTGCAGGGATAAAAGCATGCATGGAAGCTAAGAAACAGGTGGAAGAAGAACCTTACGAAGTGAGCCTGGACAGTCATGGCTGTTGTGATGGCCCCAAAAATGGAAGACTGAGGGTATCAGATAATGTAAGAGAATGATGAATTGCAAAGATAAAAGTTTAATGCACTGGAAAATTTTCAAAATTTGATAAAAGAAATAAATTTTTTTTTCCTTTTTTTTTTTTTTAATGTTTTTGCACATGGCTGGGAACTTGAATAGAGCAACTAGAAAATAACTCATTTCCATAATTTTTTCCCTTTGGCAAGAAACTAAATCACCCACTTTGCTCCTATGGTACTTAAACCTTCAACCTTCTACTAGCGAAAGGTGAGGAAGTACCACTGGGCTATAGGCTATAGCTCTTGGTAAATAAGTTGTTTTTTGTGTCAATAATTGGAGAAGTTGATAATTTGAGTCAATCTAATTGCATTGTGTGATTTTGGACAATGGAATTAAAGCACAAAATTTCAACTTTCAAGTGAGATCTGTATATTTTTTTCTTGGGGCTGTTCTCTGACTTGGTTCCACTTTTGTAAATATGCCGTTGCTGTATTTTTTTTTTCCTCCAACAGTTGTATGTTCAGTAACTTGATGGTCAAAATTCAGGTTTCTGGTGTGTCACCTTTATCGAGTTTTTAGTGAGTGTTCTGTTTCCTTTGCAGGCACCAAAGCTCTTCAACGGGTTGGATTTTTATTTCTGTGGGGACTTTTTGGCAGCTTACAAGGAAGACCTCCTAGCTCTGGTTAAAACTGCAGGTGGTAGTATTATTGAGAGCAGGGAAAAGCTAGTGGCACAAAGTAATGCTACCCATGCAACTTCTTCAACTACTCTAGTTGTTTATAATCTTGATCCGCCACAAGGGTGCCAGCCAGGAGAAGGGCGTTCTTTTGCGGCACAAAGGCTAGAGAAAGCACAATATTTGGCTAATGAAATAGGGTGTAAAGTCATTGGGCACACATGGCTTCTGGAATCAATAGCAGCATGTAAGCTGAGGCCTTTTGCACACTGATTATGGAATTCTGCAATGCAGATGGTTTTTTGTTGCTACAAAATTTAATAACGTCAATTACATTTGGGCTGCTCCAAATTACATTTAGGTTATGTTAGAATGTGAAAAGACGTCTCTTGATTATTTTGCGTGGGGCTGATTCATTTTGACTGATTATAGTGAGAGGATTTTGGTATCAATGTGTCAGCATGTCCAACATTAGAAAACTGAGATGGTTTTATCAGTTGGAAGAATTTTTGGTTGCATAAACCTCATCTTTGCATCTATGGACCAACTAGGAGCTTAGGACTGGCATGCCCAAGCAATCAAAAGCGTCCAAACAATATGCATAAGGTTCTTTATCCCACGAAAGAATAGAGCAATCTCGCATAAAAACTTACCATGTATTTTTATTTTTTATATTCCAAAATAATCCAATCAAGATGGTGATGTGGAGATTATTATTTTAATTTTAATTTTTTTGGTAGTAGGTTTAGACTCAATGGGTGCTTTGGTCTGACTTGGGTCAAGAGTGACCCAGTGTCTTCGTGATTGGCTCAACCACGAGAGGGATTGGGTGGTTGCACCACCATTTGAGCAGCCTGCCATGCTGCAGCATGAGTCTAATTCCACCACCACTAGAACTAGTATGATTAAAGCTTCGCCGCCACCCCGCCCCGCCAGAACTAGTATAGTTAAATTCAATTGCACCCCTTTTTTCATGGCTGCTCAAATGGTGGTGCAACCACCCATACCCAATCCCTTTGGTGTTCTTTCAAATCCCATTACTAAATTCACAATCCATCTCTAGTGAGGTAGAGCCAGGTAGATAACAATTGGATGGAAGGCGTTTTTGGATGGGTTTAATTTGTGAGTTGGCCAAGAAAACGAGGGCTCCCAACATGGAAAAGACTACGAGGCTGTAACTCTATTAAGAATCACTCACATGCTAACTGAGGAGTGTTATTACAAGGTATTTGCTTAATTAGTAATTACATTTTAATGCAATTAGTATGAACATATGTTGCATTTGGTATGAAGGGATCAGCCACAATTCTTCCATGACTTTTTCTTATATGAAGTAACATACTCTTGTTGTGGATAACAGAAATGGTGAAAAAAAAATGTTGGGTTGATGTGATATGGGAGGAAACTAATAAATAAAAAAAAGTTAGATGATCTACTCCACAAACTCTTACTCTTTCCATCTCTAAATTCATTTCTCTCCCCACGATCTTCTCTCTATAGATTTATATTCATACACGTGAATGTGTGAAAATTCACCCTAAACCGTATATGATTCAATCGAATCGCCGCCGGAGCGTCAAAACGGACGGAGTGAGAGATCATTCTCGTGGAGCGGACCGTTTATAAAAACATAGATACGATGACAGTGATCGGCGGATTGATTGGGCTACTGATTGGGCTACTGTTGCATCCACTGTGAAATGAAGATACGGGTTTCAGAGAAGATAATGAGGGTTTGGGGGCTACTAGGTATGTAGAGGGAGTGTTGTACGTGTAAATAGCAGAGGACTGATTATTGAGTGTCTTAGGTTTATGTTTTTTCCTCTTTTGAAAAAGTTGTGTAAGGTTTCTCAACCAAATAGAAAGACATTTAAATTTCCGAAAAATTAACAAATAAATAGAAAGACATTTTCCGGTGTTTGGATGTATGAGCAGTCAATGGGATAGGTTCAGAAAGATAAATCATGTATTCATTCATAAACTGATAAACTTAATAAAAAAAAGTTACTACATATCCATTGAAAAATAAAAGAAATGTTAGTAATGGTGATTTTTTCTTGTGTGTAGTTTCCATTAATCATCTCATACGCCTGTTTGAATGTTAATTACTACGTTTATCAATTGACCAAATGAGTATGAATTAAGAGTAGACGAACATGTCATATTTAATTATAAAATCATAAACATTGGGTATATATCTATTTACCAAATCAAAATTGATGGAATAATTACTATAATTAAAAAAGACGTGTCCATTTATTAGTGGTCCACAATAATAGTTGAGATGATGTATACCTTATGAGAACATATATATGATCCTTTTAAAATAAAGCACAACCGGATTTAACATTTAAATATAATCTAAACTAAATTAAACGACAACAAAACATGTAAAAATAAATATTGTATGACTATAACTCCTGGACCATGGATATTTGTATTTTGTACCATATGAAATAAGGAAAAAATATTGGGTTTAACCACAATCCTTGGGTTTCATTTGGATAAATAGGAGATAAAAGAAAATAAAGTATAGCTTTAGTTATGAGAAAAAAGAAAATAATAATAATAATAATAATCTCTATTTTTTTTTAAAAAAATATTGATAACAATATTTTCTATTCATTGGTATTACTTAATTACTTAACCTTCAAATATTTTATTTCTAGAAAGATAGCATATGAGGGATTTAGATGGATATCTCTCCTAATCATTTATTTTTTCTCCATTTAAGACAATCCACACACATTTATTTTATTTCTAGGAAAAGGCACATGCGATGCAGGTGTTGAATATTTTGTAGATAATGTGATAGAGTTTTATAGAAAATAAAATAGCCAATTTGGGGTAGATTTTATAAAAATTATTTTATTTTCATTAAATATATTATTGTTTAATTATATTTTCTTTTATTAAAAAAACTCATAATAAATAGATAAATAGGTAATATGTGTCAGAATTTTATAGAAACCCTTTTAAAAACTCTTTTTATATCAATTAAATATATTTTTTTATATTAATAATTCTTGTCTAATTAGATTTCAATAAATAAATAAATAAGTAATTTGTATTAGAGTTTTATAGAAACTCTTTTAAAACCTATTTTTATATCAATTAAAAAATAATTTTTTATATTGACAATACTTGTCTAATTAAATTTTCTTTTATTAAAAAACTCAAAATAAATAGATAAATAGGTAATTTGTATTAGAGTTTTTATATAAAATCTTAAAATATATCTTTGTCTAATGTATTATAATTTTATTGAAAATAAAATAGATAATTTGTGATAGAGTTTTTCTAGTCTAATTAGATTTTCTTTTATTAAAAAACTTATAATAAATAAATAAATAAGTAATTTGTATTAGAGTTTAATAGAAACTCTTTTAAAAACTCTTTTTACATCAATTAATAAATATTTTAAAATTTTAATAATTCTTGTCAAATTAGATTAGTTTTTACTAAAAAAAAAAAAAAAAACTTATAATAAAAAGTAGTTTGTGATAGAGTTTTAGAAAAATTATTATATTTTTTATATCAATTAAAAAATATTTTTATATAAATAATTCTTGCCTAATTAGAATTTCTTTTATTAAAAAACTTATAATAAATAAATAAATAGGTAATTTGTGTTAGAGTTTAATATAAACTCTTTTAAAAATTCTTTTTATATCAATTAATAAATATTTTTATTTTAATAAATTGATAATTTGTGTTAGAGTTTTTTATATAAACTCTTTTGAACCTCTTTTTATATCAATTAATAAATAATTTTCTATATTAGTAATACTTGTCTAATTAGATTTTCTTTTATTAAAAAAACTCACAATAAATAGATAAATAGGTAATTTGTGTTAGACTTTTACAGAAACTCTTTATTATGTAAATTTCAGTGTTTATATTTTTTTATATATAAATAAATAAATACCAAAACTCATTGCACATCTAATAATAGCATAGATAAAAACTCTTTTTAATAAATATTGAAACTCTTTTTAATAAATACTGAAACTCTTAGGTAGAGTTTCTGTATTTTACTCTGTAATTCTAGTTTAGATTTATAAAATTCTCAATTTCTGTACCCTTCCCTCCATGCCACTATTTATAGGCTTCTTGGATGTCATAACAGGGCAGGTTGATTATATTGTGATAATTATCTATAAAAAATAACTATTCTTTTTATATTGAACTAAAAATAAGAGTTTTATATAGAATGTGATTGATATTATTAGGTAATTTTGTAATTAATAAATATTTTTTATTTTAATACTTATTGTCTAATTAGATTTACTTTTATTAAAAAAAACTCATAAAAAATAGATAAATAGGTAATTTGTGTTAGACTTTTATAGAAACTATTTTAAAACCTCTTTTTATATCAATTAATAAATAATTTTAAATATTAATAATACTTGTCTAATTAGATTTCCTTTTATTAAAAAACTAATAATAAATAGATAAATAGGTAATTTGTGTTAGAGTTTTATAGAAACTCTTTAAATATTTCTTTGTCTAGTGTGATAAAGTTTTATTGAAAATAAAATAGGTAATTTGTGATAGAGTTTTATAGAAATTATTTTATTTTATTTAAATATATCCTTATCTAATTAGATTTAATTTTATTAACAAACTCATAATAAAAGCTAATTTGTGGTAGAGTCTTAGAAAATTTATTTTCTTTTATATATCAATTAATAAATATTTTTTTATATTAATAATTATTGTCTAATTAGATTTTTTTATTAAAAAATTCATAATAATAAATAGATAAATAGGTTAGTTTAAATTTTATTATTTAGATTTTAGTTTTTTAAATATTTTTTTATATAAATAAATAAATACTTAAATACTGAAACTCTTTGCACATCTAATAATAGTATAGATAAAAAACTCTTTTTGCAGAGTTCCTATATTTTACTCTAAAATTTTGGATTTCTAGAATTTTCAATTTTTATACCCCTTCTTCCTTCATCCATGCCTTTATTTATTGGCCTCTTGGATTAGTAGAATGATGACATGTGTCATTTTCTGATAATTACATAATCATAAACGGGCCGGTCCGGTTATATTATGATAATTATTCATAAAAAATAACTATTCTTTTTATATTGAACTAAAAATAAGAGTTTTATATAAAATGTGATTGATTTTATTAGGTAATTTTTAGAGTTTTATAGAAACTATTTTTATATCAATTAATAAATATTTTTTTATATAAATAAATAAAGAATGAAATACTGAAACACGTTGCATTATTTTATTAGGTAATTTTTAATTAATAAATATTTTTTAGTTTAATAATTCTTGTCTAATTAAATTTACTTTTATTAAAAAAACTCATAATAAATAGATAAATAAGTAATTTGTGTTAGAGTTTTATAAAAACTCTTTTAAAACCTCT